GAGCGCGCGGTGGCTCAGTCGGCTAGGTCGTGGATTGGGACGCGGGAGACCGTGGTTCGATTCCCGGCCAGTGCGACTTTTTCGGGCAAAGTACCTCTGTGATTCTCACATGTGCTTATTCACCACGCAATGCTCCTCGAGGAGGGTTTAGGCGACCTCCTCGCAGCATAAATTGCCTAATTCCCCCTACCCCCCTCCCAATAATGGGGGGCCCCCCCTATACCTCTTCCCTTCCCTCTCCAAAGTGCTAAGTGCCCATAGTAGTGCCCTTAATAAAGGAGCCGGACACGTAGAGCAAAAAAAAAAAAAAAAAAAAAGACTATAGATGACTAAAAGACACTTGATGCGTCATGTCAATACGTCATATCGTCATATGATATGTGATGCCATCACAGTGATGGTGAGATGTGCTTGATAATTAGGTTATCAGTTGATTTACAAGATACGAGTTACCCGCCGTTACGACAAGAATCACAGACAACTTGAAAATGACAAATTTTCTATTCTTCATAAGTACTTGTAGTGTTTCCATAAAAGTTTTTGCGGAGCTGAAGATTCTATAGGATCCATCGAACCGTTTTACGTAAGAAAATATCAGATTTGTGATCGACATTACATGCTTTCAATTACAGCTAATTTCGTTGTTACGTAGTCAACTTATAACGTTTTCTTGTTGAGTATATCATGTTAGTATTTTTAGTAAAAGCACGTCCAAAGAATAGCCATTCAAGTATTTCATCACTTTTTTTTGAGGTTAAGATAAATAAAATTTTTCGCGTATTGAGTGTATTTTCATAACATAAGTTCTATTTGATTGCAAAAAAATGATATTAGTATTGTATAAATTATTATGAAAATTTTATCACTTATTTTTTTCTATTTCATACCCAACAACATAATCGTTTTTTTTCCAATTTAGAGGGCAATTATAATCCATATTCATTATGGTTCATCTTCAAGAAAAATTGAAAACGGAATATATTCAGTTAGTGGTTAATCTTTCTTCGGAATTAAACTACAATGTTTTGAAAATTACTGAAGATTTGCGACTGGCAATTGAAAATGCTGAAAATGCCACTACATACAATCAAATAGACATAAATGCAGTTTCGATCAATCAAATGATTCAAATTTACATTGATAACTTTATTAAGATTAATTGTACTTTCAATGAACGATATAAACTATGGTTAAGACATGATTATAATAGAAATGATTTACATTCTTTTGGATCAGAAAAATCTACTATTCCATTAGTTGATGGTCCTGAAGTGGAAGTTAGTTCAGAAATAAATAGTGCTATTTCAGAAGTCTTTGTCGCAGACTCTAATCACAATGATATTGTTGTTGAGATTGATGAAGATGTAGAGATAGTCAACGAAGTCTCCTATTCTAAAATCCAAAAGACAACTGTTAGTAATCCAAGTTCAGATTCATCAGAAGTTGTAGTAGTGGCTAAAAGCAAGACTGATGAGCCGGAAACTGATCAATGTCCTGAAACAGATCCAAACACAGAAAAACGTATGTTATATAAATATACTTTATATAAATTAGTGTAAAATTGAATTAAAAATAAAAATGTATTAATACCCTTTTAGATGATCACAAGTATTCAAAAGCACCTCAAACTATTTCCAAAGAATGTCATCCAGCTGACCAAGATGAGAAGTTGCTTTCGAAATGTTATGTTTTATTGGACAATTTGGAAACCTTACAAGGAAACTACCAAAATGATTGTAGTTCGCTTTGTGGATTGGTTAACTCAAACTCTCCTGTTGAAGAATTCCAAAGGTATCTCATACATATTATAAATCCATGATTTTTTTTTTTTTTTATCTTATCAAGACGTTCTGTTAGTGAAAATAATCAAATCCCTTATGCTCAAGGTTACTAAACTTGGAAGATCTTGAAAAAAAAAGAAAAAGGGATTACAGCTCCTCAGATAGTGTGGAGTCAAAAAGAAGTAATCGTGCGAAAAAAGTATCTAAAAAATTGAAAAATTCAACATCTTCATCATCGGACAGTGATACTTTCTCTGATTCATCCGATAGTAGCAGTAAAAGCTATAGTGACAGCAGTAATAACAGTTTTCAGTTAGAAGTCAATGAACCTGTTAATGATTTTCATGAAGAGAGATTAAAACAAAATTTGTTAAGCAGTGGTAAATTCACTTCTTTTAATGATTCTTGACCAATTAATCCAAAGCATCCAACCAGGGCAAGCACAAAGGGTCCCTCAGAGCCAGTGCTTGCTCTAGCGACATGCACCACCGAGTACCAAATTAACTATTTTTAATTGCAGATGATGAGGATAATAATAATGATGATAATGATGACGATGATGATGATGGAAGTAGTGATGACAATTTGAAAAATGACGACAAAGATGACAACCCTATTAAGACAAAAAAAAATTTAATATCTTCAAAACAGAATGGACCCTTGAGCCCTGATGATTTTTCAGATTCTTACAGTGACGATTCTTGTGATAAAGAAAAAAAGTCTAATCGTGAGTGGTTGAAGGATAGTGTACTTTGTTATAAAATAAACGATGATGATCAAAAAAAGAAAAAAAATTTCATATCAGTCAACGAAGAAGAGTAAGAATTTACTTGTTTGCTTAATAATTTACTATTACTTTTTTCTAATAACTCAATCGTTTACTAGTAGCTCAGAAGAATGTTTGTTAAGTGAGAATTTGAGAAAAAAAAATAATACAGTTATCTCCAGTGATTCAGAAAACGAGAGCTCAGGTTTTTCAAGTTCTTCTAAAGATATAGAATGTGTGGAGAGTTATCGTGAAGAATCTATAGATAATTCTGATGTTATTCTTGTAGAATGGTTAGTATTGAGATTTATTTGTATTATTTATTTAAATATAAATATTATACCTACACAAAGGTAAAAACGTGATAAAATAGGTATTAAAACTTAAACCTAGAGCATTGAATTTTAAGTCCACCTCTGAATAACTCGTTTCTTATAAAAAAATATCATAATTATTAAGTTTCAATATTTTAAAATGTACCTAATTATTACTTTATTTTGCTTTCTTTCCTTTTACGGTCTATCAGTGAGCCGGTCAACACTAGTCATGGTAGCGGTAACAAGAAAAGTGGGCGTCGCAATATAAGAGAAATTATTGCTGACAACAAAATAACAGCAGACAGCAAACAAGCTGCTAAAGCCGAAGAAATTCGGTTACAACGACTTGAAAAGCGTTATCAGCAGGTACATCTATTACACTTTTTGCAACATAATACATGTCCACAGTTAAAAAAAAAAAAAATTATTTAACTTCCTACAGCTTTCAACTAAAAAAGAAGTAAAAAATCGTTTCGTGTTGGACATAGATTTAGAAACAAAAAAAGATCTTGTTATTGTAGATAATGGCTTGGTCAAACGCTTGAAACCCCATCAAAAAGACGGTGTAAAATTTATGTGGGATGCGTGTTTCGAAAGTATAGATCAAGTCAAAAATACGGAAGGGTCTGGATGCATCCTTGCCCACTGCATGGGACTGGGTAAAACTTTCCAGGTTGTTACCTTGGCACATACTGTATTGGTTAATAAAAATATCGGAATCACGACGATTATGGTTGTATGCCCTAAAAATACCATCTACAACTGGATAGATGAATTTGATTTGTGGCAACAGAGTGCCGAAAATAAAACAAAAATCAGAGTCTATCACTTAACGCGGTGAGTTTCGTTTTTCTAACATAAATACAAATATTATGATGTACTTAGTGTACCCTACTCAGATAAATCTTTTGTTTTAGTAGCAACATCTTTTATAGATTAAAGATTCTTGAATCATGGCACCAAAAAGGTGGTGTCATGATAATAAGTTATGATCTATTTCGTGCGATCACGTCAGAAAACCCGCATATTCCTCCTGAAACAGTAAGTGAATTAAAATACTATTTGACAAATCCTGGAGCTGACGTTGTAGTTTGTGACGAAGGTCACTTATTAAAAATGGAACAATCCAAGAGATCTCTACAAATGCAATCTATAAAGACAAAAAGAAGAATTGTCTTGACAGGAACTCCATTACAAAACAACTTGAATGAATGTAAGGTTTGAGGAGTAACTTAAAAATCATCGATCAAAATTATCGATAATAAATGAAAAAATTTTTACAGATCATTGCATGGTTCAGTTCGTTAAGCCAAGTTTACTAGGTACCAAAAATGAATTTATGAATCGTTTTGTAAATCCGATAAACAATGGGCAATGGTGCAATTCCACTGATGAAGACATCTGGTTGATGAAAAAACGAACCCATGTACTTTATAAAATTCTGGAGGGCTCTATACAGCGTCGCGACTACGCTGTTTTGACACCTTTTTTACCACCGAAATACGAGTATGTTATTCATATTCGATTAAGTGACGTGCAAGAAAACATGTACAAATATTTTGTAGAGCATATAAGGTATTTCATAAAAAATACAAATTTTGGGAGTATGTTGACTAGGAGGATTATTTTTTTGCATGATTATTTTTCAGCTTTAATCAGAAAAGTATGTTAGCGAACTATCACTTGATACAACAACTTGTTTCTCATCCAAGAATTTTCGAAAAATCATCACGAAATACAGTACAGGCAACTACTTTTCATAATAATAGTGATAACAATTCCAACGAAACCTGTGATCCTTGGTGGACCAAACTTGTTAGTCAAGAACAGTTGGATGATTACAAGATATCTTGTAAAATGATAATTTTTTTTGCCATTTTAAAAAAATGTGAAGTAGAGGGTGACAAAGTGTAAGAACAATTTTTTTAATCTTAAGTTTTCAACATTTTCTTAACAAATCATCAATTTACAGGCTGATTTTCTCTCAGAGTTTGCGAACACTTGATTTAATTCAGGAATACTTACAAAAAATTGACGAAAAACAAGTCGATGATCTATTTGAATTTCAAGGCCAATGGAAAAAAGGATGTGATTATTATCGATTGGATGGGAAAACAAGTGGGACTGAGCGAAAAAAAATGTGCGAAATTTTCAATGATAAAGAAAAAAAGCGGATGCGACTATTCCTTATTTCCACAAAAGCTGGAGGCTTGGGAATCAATCTTACGGGGGCCAATCGAGTCATCATTTTTGATCCCAGCTGGAATCCATCTAACGACGTACAAAGTATTTTTCGAATATTTAGGTCTGCTCATTTGCATATCTTTACCATTTTTCTGCTAATTATTAGGTGTGTAAATTATTTATTTGTTGTATTAGGTTTGGGCAAACAAAACCATGCTTTGTTTATCGTTTTCTTGCCGCTGGCACGATGGAACAAAAAATTTACAATCGTCAAGTGAACAAACTGTCACTATCTCTACGAGTACTCGATGAGCAAGAAATTGCACGGCACTATCGAAATTCAGAATTAGCAGAGTTGTACGCCTATGAACCCTACCCTGAGAACACATTAATCACCGAAATGCCAAAAGATCGTGTTCTAGAAAGTGTTATCAAAAAATTTCCTGGCTATATCTGTGGTTTCTTTGAGCACGATTCATTGTTTCAAAATAAGGTAATTAAAAACACCATTAGTAAAAAAAATCTTGAATACACTTTAAGAAGCACAATTATTTTTTTTTTTTTTTTTTTTTTTCTATTATAACAGGAAGACGAAAAGCTCAATGAAGATGAGCGTAAGAATGCTTGGATAGAATATAAAAAAGAGGCAGACGCCCCGACGAATAATGATGCAAAGAAAGGATGCAACAAAAAACGCGGCATACCAAACACTGGGTCAGAAGTTGTGATAGATTTATTTGATGTGGATCCTGTAGTCCCAGAAGATATAAATCAAAATGAACCTGGCAGTCAAAATGGATCAAACAGCGACACCAGTCTGGAAAACGGTTCAACAGTATCTGAGAATCAAAAAAGTTCTACTATAGTTTTGGAAGCTACTAACTTATAACTATATATTAGGTAACTATTCTTATTTTAACGTTACAAACAAAACAACTTGTTTAATTAACAAACAAAGCCAAACACGTTACTTTGCCAGTATTATGAATGTTTATTCTTACAGACGATTCACAGTCAATTAGGATATGTTGTTAGCTCCATTTAATCGCTGTTTTAATTTTTCCATTAACATTAACTTCAAGGTATATTTGATGTGTTGGAAAACTTGTATGCTCGCTAAATTCGAACTCTCGGACGAGTCCGTGTAGTGATCGTAAAGTTCTTCTGCCAGTATTGACTGCCAAATCGGTAACTTGACCACTTGAGAAAAATTTACCCACGCAGTATACCTGTATTGAACCGTGCGGATCGTGTACCCCATAACAGAAATTTGTCGAAGCCGGGGTTTGTCACTGCTGGGGTTGCATACAGGATCGACTCCAGGTCGAGGGTATTGACTTATGGCTGTTCTGTTTACAGACCTACTCTGTTAACATAATTTTATAATATAATTATCGAAACGTTATTATTAGACGTATTATTTTTAGTATAAAAAAAAGTAATTGGTTTTAGAAACCTTAGTTTTAGTTGAAGCAGTGATTAGGGGAATCAAAGACGATCCCATAGTACAAAATCGAGGCGTTGCCGTATTTTCTTCGGGGCAGGTAGGAATCGGAAAACCTGCCAATTCCGCCACAGTTGGAAATATATCCAACAGCTCAACGGGCTGACCTTCTGCGTGGTTGTTAAATACGTTTCGTTGTGTTCGATTATTAAAATCAAATTTCGTGCTGTCTTTCCATAGGTGCGTAAGATGAGGCACTGAAATAATTAAAGGTACTCGTACGGCAACTTCAAAGTTACTGTACTTGGACCAAACGGCATGTTCGCCTAACGACCATCCTAAAATTAAATACGTGTACGATCTTTTTTATGATTATAAAATCAATAGTGTAAATAATTGTAATATAAATGCAAACGCTCAAGTACAAATTACCATGATCGGACGTCAAAATCACGATAGTTTCACCTCGAATTTTTAAGTTATCAATCTTTCTCAAAAGCTTGCCGATAAGCTCGTCTATATACGTTACTGCTGCGTAGTACGATTGTATAATTTTTATAGCGAATTTTTCTGTAAATACAATGTTGAGAATGATTAATTTTATTACTTGTAACTTAAAGTTGCAAACGAAAAATTATCGTGCGTTGAATAATTTTATACTAAAGAGATGTATAAACATGTTTCTCATTAAAAAAATTATTTTTTTTAAAATACGAAAAAATAGTTGATGCCTTGTTTCTTGACATATTACCCGGTATTTTTTCCCAAGGACAATTCAATCCCAATTTCCGCACGTCGCTCCTTCTGCGCAAATCCGTCCAAGGGTTGTAAGCGACGTTGCTTACGTTTTCCAGCCACTCGTAATTGCGCGGCAGTGAAAATTTTTTCAAAGGATGAAACTCTAGAAGACACAATCGTTTTAACTTGTTATTTAAGCATGTTATTTTTCATCACGTTTCAGAAGTCAAAGGTAATTACTCAAATATTTCTTGGGATACTTGAGAGGAATGTGGGGCTTGTGAAATCCAACGGCCAGAAAGAACGGTTCTCGGCGTTGTTTGTTCAAAAACTCCTTGGCAGCCTGCAAAATTTCAAGGTCCGGCAGGGTTGCATTTGGCATTTCCGACACTCGAACCGGACAAATCTAAATTACATCATCGTTGGCTGTGAATGAAAAATGAACATCCGCAATACGTGTGTCCATGCATCGTTAAAAAAAAAAAAAAATTTGAGTTTCGACAGTCATGCCTGGTGTAAACACAGATATAGATATAATGAGTGATTTTACGAGATTGCTGTCTGGTGTCGAGTTGCCTTGCCGGCAAACCGGAGCATCTTTGTACTTTTCGGTACTTGGGTAAAAGGGCGGCTCGCTCCAAGAGTCTCTGTGGTCGCAGCTTTTATCTGTACGTGTTAAGAGACGCTGTTCATCCATGGATAAACAAGTATTATTGATATACATGTGTGGGCTACGAAAATAGATAACATCATCGGCACACCTGGATGGAAAACTTTGCCAAAGCCGCTCGTTACGTAGCCGTTGTTTTTTAGATACTTGGGCAGGGTCGTCAAGTTGCAGGCCACTCCGGCCCAGTGGCTGGAAAAGTCGTAAAGGCCAATGTCGTCGGGTCGTCGGCTCGTCAAAAGAGAGTTCCGACTCGGCGAGCAGAGGGCTTGCTGTGTGTATAATATGTGCAGAAGTACGATTAATTATTGTTATCAAAGAAATTCAATGAATTATTCGAGTATACTAAACTTGTAGAATGGAAAAAAAAGAGAGGGGTACCTGGGCATAGGCGCGCTCGAAAACGACGCTCTGCCGAGCCAAGAGGTCGATGTTCGGGGTGTGAGCTTTTGCGTCGCCGTAAGCGCCGAGGACGGGCCGGAGGTCGTCGATTATGATGAACAGGAAATTCGGTCGTTCTCGATGAGCGTCGACGGCGATTAACGATGATATTGGTATCATCGTCGCAAGAATCAGCTGGGCTATCGTTACTTTCTCGCGATTTTTCATTTTATCTTTATCGTTTACTTTTTTCGCTATTCGATTTCTCGTCTAGTTGAATTTTGTATGAAAAATTATTTGAATTGAAAAATCCGATCACTAAGAGACTGCACCCCCATACATCGGGATCTACAATTAAGTAAGTAAGTATACGCATGAAGAAAGAAAAAAGAGAAAAATGCGGTCGATCAGCTGATTGTCATATCCCTAAGGAGGGATGGGTATGCATAAAAAACTGATTTGAAAAATCTCCGTACAGTATATAGGTAATGGATAATGATCAGTGTTTTCGTTTTTTTCCCCTTTCCTATAATTGCAAAGGATGTTGTTGTATATATGTACTAATATACAAATGATTAAAAAAGAAGAGACTGAATAAGCCTTGAATGAGAGATTATCTGCAGCTTCCCAAGTTCTGCTGATGCGCATAAAATTTTAAGCAGAGAGGAGTGAGAGTAGAACTTGGTTTTGCAGAGTGGTTGCTTTTACTGCACATTTTTGGTTTTTTCGTTAAAAGCTTTCACGCACCTACTTATATTTTATTTATTCTCATCCCTACTTTAATTTCTTTTCTTTCTGATGAGCTTTACACACAAATCACAATGACCGCTCTCTTTCTCCTCCAATGTACCCAACTACTAAGTACGCACTGTTCCGAAATTCGATTTGGTCGAGGAAGTGGCAATGCCGCCGTCAGCTGGCAACAGTAAACAGTGATTGTTTTGGTTTTTATTGCGTTAGCTATCGCAGCGTCAGCTGATCGCAACGTTGCCATTTACTTGACCAATTTGAATTTCGGAACGCACCCAGAACGTAACATATACATATATATGTGCAAGCTTTTTGCTCTTAAAACATATCAAAACAATAACTCCGAAATATACTTACGCACGTCGCAGATGCGCAGAGCGCAGGGCGTGCGTGTTGTAAACTTGTAAATGGAAATATAAAGAAGAAAGAAGTCAAAGTGTTTGGCTTGGCATAGTAGTACTTACTACCCACTGTACTTTTACCCGCAGTTTGATTGCAAAACTCCAAAAGAAGCTGAGCCAGCGCATGAAGAATTGAATCTTTTTCAAGAAGTAAGCAGAAGTTGTGTGTGTGTGTGAATCGAGTCATCTAAAGTGTGCTCTCTCTGCACTTGCAGTTTTTGGGAAAACAATATAGTTTAAAAGGGGGAAGAAGAAGAAGAAGAAGCAGTAAGGGCAAGGTGATTAAGTACTTTTTCTCTCTTTGAAACAATTACTTGTAGGGTCTAGGTTTGGGGTTTCCGTCATCGTGTACCTGTTAAAAGTACCTATTTCCGATGATATCTTTATTTGTCACTCAATACAACAGTATCTATACACCTATATACTCTCTCTCTTTTTTCGCTCTTGCTTGGTGATTGGAACGTAAAGTGCGTAAAGTACTTATTTCTCGCGTTTCTTTCTTATACTCTTTAAGTAGGGTTTGACATGGGATTGGCTTTGTGACGCGATAGTGTGAATAACACTTTTATTATTCTTGATTATTGTGTTTGCGTGTGCAATAAGCTCTCTCACCAACGTACACTTATCTCTCGATATTTGCAAGATTAACGCAAGCAATGATTTTTTTTCTAAGTACTGGATTTCTTAAATAACCTTGTCCTTTCGGTTATTGTTGTATTGTTTGCCTATGTCAAAAAGGTAAGTATTTCAAATGTACGTAAACGCGCATAGACAGTGAGACGAAAGGAAAAAAAATTCTCTAAAAAACATACATACATATACATACACTCATGTATGTAAGAGCAAGAGAAATAGAGAAGGAGAGGGGAACACATCGGGCAAACAACGAAACAGCTGGTGGCTGGTGCTGTCGTCTACCTATATACATTGTGTTGTTATATAGTAGCTGCAGACGACGACGACGACTCCGAAACTCTGATTTCCTTTCTGGTGGTGATGGGTGATGGTGATGTTGTTTCTGTTCGTGATTTCGGAGTGTTGTCGGGAATGTCGGGTATTGTGAAGTCCGAGTGTTTTATATAGGGTACATATACAACTACATACGTAGGGAGAGAAAAAAAAATAACACTCCTCAATCCTCTTGTTCTCTCTCTCTCTCAGCTCTCTCTCTTCATAATATACACACATACACTGTTTGTATACCTATCTATAATCACGACCTTCGTAAGAGTGTTTTGGAAAGCTAAGAGAGAAAGAAAGAAAGAAAAACAAAAAGAGCAAGAAATGTCAATCGTGCGCGTTGACGCGCAAAATTATTGTTGCAGCTGCAGGTGGACTATTCTCTTTGATTGATTTGATGCGGAGGAGAAGGCTGTTGCTCGTGATTGCCTCGTTAGGTAGTGCTGCAGAGGAAGAGCACTGCTGCTGCTGCGATGTCAGCGGACTCGCCGAGAAGGACGGGCAACCAGAGGGGCGCCCAGGTCATCTCGCCCCAACCAGTCAGCGACAAGTCCATCATAGACAGCGTCGCGGGTATCATCAATGATATCGTGCCCCAGGTAAAGTCCAATATACATGTGTACATGTATATATGTTGTATTCTTTGTACCTAACAACAGTCTTATTGTTACATATTTTACGCTTTGCTGTGCTTTTAACTCATATAGGCTTCACGTTTGCTGATTTTTTTTATTTTTTTTTTATTTTTTTTTCATTTTAATCGCTTCTGGCTGGCTTTGCTTAATAACCAAATCCGAATACCGTTAGTATTCCTTTCTTTCGATATCTCCAAAGGCCTACAGCAGTAGCGTCCCCAGCACCGATAACAGGGAGACCATAACATGGGCCAGATTCGAATACGCGGACGTCAACGATCCGACCTTCTATCCTGACTACAACGAGGGCTCGAGCATACCGCCTTTGTTGCTGGTACTCGGATACAACACTGGAGTTCAGGTAGTTACTCATACGTATATTGCTTATTATTTTGTTTTTACTATAAATATTTTTAAAACAGTCTCCCCTGTAGGTAATTTTCTTATCTCTCGGACAAATAAAAATGCGGTTCTTTATAAAGATATTACAACGCACGCAAATTGCAATTTATATAGATGAATTTTAACACCTAATTGGCTGGAAAAATAATCTTTTTCTTCAAATCGAAGGTATGGCTGATCGCAGCATCGGGCGAAGCAACGGAGGTGCTGTCCTGGCGCCAGGGTATGGTGCGCACGTTGCGCATCCTGCCAAGACCCAGACGAGGCGAGCGAGACTGCGAGGACGCGTTCAAGCTGAAGCGGCCGATGGTGGCGATCTGCGACGCAGCTGGCCCGGGGCCGCAGTTCTCGAACGTGGGCTTCGTGTCGCTGAAGACCGGCGAGCAGGTGAAAAGCATCAAATTCAAGAGCTCGGTCTGCGACGTGCACGCCAACAAGCGCTCGATCGTCATCACCTTCCCCGAGAAAATAGCCATCTTCGATGCTGCGACCCTTGAGGACGTTGTCACCGTGACTACCTGCTATCTCAGTCCCGGACCGAATCCGAATCCCATCGCGCTTGGTAACAGATGGCTTGCTTACAGGTACGATTCGATTTTTTTCTTTCATCTTCAATTTTAAAATGATTAATTATTAATGCAACCATTACGTTGGTTTACTCGTTAGCGAGAAGAAATTGATTCCTGGCCGCAGGAGTAGCGGGGGCTGCGAGGGCGAGGGTGTCGCGAGTTACACGGCTACGGTGCTGTACGCGGCCAAGTCACTGGGCAAGGGCTTACGAGGACTCGGCGAAACGGTTGCCTCTAGTCTTACAGGCAACACCGTGTCACCCTCGAACCTGAACAATTCGAACGCAACGGACGCGACTCAGGCTGGTATCGTCACGATCCTCGATTTGACGGCTGCCAAGGAGGAGAAGGTAACCGACGATCCGAACATCGAGACCTTTGTCGCGCACTTTCAGGCCCACAATGATGCCATCGTAGCCATGACGTTCGATCTGACTGGCGCTCTGCTCATGACTGCTGATAAGCGCGGTCACGACTTTCAGGTTTTCAGGTACCTTGCAGACATACGTTTTGGTACAAAAATTTCTCAAACTACTGTATTTGTTACATAAGTAAAACTGTGTAATGACTTGCAGGATACATCCTCACCCGAGTGGTCCGAACCTCGCTGCAGTGCACCACCTGTACGTACTGCACCGAGGTGACACGACGGCCAAGGTCCAGGACATGGCTTTCTCGAGCGATGCGCGCTGGGCCGCCGTTTCGACCGTTCGGGGCACGACCCACGTCTTCCCTGTGGCACCTTACGGCGGACCTGCTGGGGTGCGCACTCATTCTTCACCTCACGTGGTCAACCGGCTGTCGAGGTTTCACCGCAGTGCAGGCCTCAGTGACGACGGCACTCATCGCTCTCACTCACCTGTCTCGCATGCCGAGCAGCCCACACCCGTCTGTCCCTACACCAATCCCCGGTTGCCGCCCTATCCCCAGCCCGCGATCCTTCATCCGCTCGCCCAGATCCGTCAGCCCTCGAGCTTGAATCATACCAACAACCAAGCACAACCAAGGTAAGTTACGGCATGGCAAAGTTTGTGATCTCGTTGTTGTCGCGTTACGATAATATACACATTTGTTTTATTTTCATACAATAGAGTACAACAAAGGCAACGCCTTTATTCCGATGATAGTGTTACGTTACCGTTGAAAATATGCGCCTGCTTCGCACCACCACGAGCCTGGATCTATGCACAACGTGATTCTAGCAATAAACTGACGAAACGAGCAGTCGACTCTTTGTTCATAATGGCCTGTCATGGCAATCTAATTCAATACGATTTGGAACCTAAAGCTAGTTCCAGTAAGTATATTTTACGTTTATTTTTTTTTACCTACCACTCTTTGAAATACTTTTGTCAGATTAAGAAAATAATCATATTTTTTTTTTTTTTTTTTTCTAGGCGTGCCTAAGGAAAAAGTGTGCGACGACACAGAAATTGAGTTAGAGGTAGAAGCTAAAGGGCAGTGGCCGCTGATAAGGAGCCCCAGTTCCTCAGATATAATACCTCCTCTGCTACCCAGCAGTCCACTGCTTGATGTCTCGATGACTCCGTCAAACAATTTGCAGTTCAATAGCAATGAAAGCGCTCGATGGTTGAGCCAAGTCGAAATGTGCACTCACTCTGGACCGCATCGTCGTCTCTGGATGGGACCTCAATTTGTTTTCAAAACTTACAACGCACCCAGCGGGTAAGATAAACTTAATCACTGCTTATTAATGCCCTTATTTTTCCGTAACAATATTAAGTTAATTGACGATAAGAGGAGTTCACGAGATTGTTGACAATTTTCAGAGTGGCTGCTAATCTCGTAGAGGCTGAAACCGTTGAGGTTGGCACGACTGGCGGCTCACGACCTGCTAGATCGAATCCTGTTAACATGCCTCGAGCTGGTAGCAGACCATTAGTACCGTTAGTCATCGATGGCTCGGGAAGTAAGTATTTCGGCTACTTATTCCTATAAGTTAGCATAAAATATAAAGATATAAAATCTATGATTACGTGTAATCAGGTAGTTATGAGCAGTCACCACGAGTCGTTGAAACCTATGGAGATGCGCTAGATCACGAAAATATCGACATACTTGGAGGTGGTGAGAATCAGTTACGAGAGGACCTTGCTGAAGCCATGCTCGAAACATCCTCGGTACCACATCCAGTGTCAGGTAAATTCAATAATTTACAAATTCTCGTAATAGGCGCGTCAATTCTCAATGGTGTATTTTAACTTTTACTAAAAATAATTTGCTCTCAAAGCTGGAACTTAATGTTGTTATTACTTTTTCACGCGTCATAAATAAATGAAAATAAAATTGTGTCATTGTTGCATACATTTATGTTGATTATGTACATTTACCATACGCATGAGATTATTTTGCTTTTTTATATTTTTCAATATTAATCCTTGAAAATTTTGCTACTCTGTGTGACAGTTAAGTTTGTCTTGTACTTTTTTTAAATAACATCGCACGTAAACACACATTCGTCTAACAATAAATTATACATTTGCGTTTTTCTGTACCTAAGTCGTACAATAAATAATGTATTTTAGTGAGCATTTTAATAAAATTTTTTTTAAATCTCGAAATGCAAGGCTAATTACATCGGGAAATTCAAAAGCGACTCTCATAGAATACAATTATAGCACACACATCCTTCTCAGTGCAAATATAATGTAAGCTATCGTTATTTACTGTACATATATTCATCATCTGCACATGGTTGAGGATGGTGGCTAGTTTTATTTGCATATACGCCTTCAATAAGTAAATATAGGCATAAGAATACGCGAAACACAGAACTAGCCAAAGGCAGGTATCTCTTTTGCACCTTTTCAAACTTTTTTTAAATCTCCATACATGTTTTACACCACACACTAGCAGTATTTTTTTCTCACTAATAGGGACCGCTTAAACGCTCTAGAAAAAAATCCTTGTTTCGTCATTTTTCTTGTCATTAGTCAAATAATACGTCTGAAGTCGAACTGTTGTTTATTATAAATTACAAAAAAAAAAAAAAGACTAGAAAGTCGATGCAAAAAATGCAGAGCCGCGTCGTGGTACACCAGCAAGCTATAGTGCCTTGAGCTTACTCATTATCCTTTTTTATTTTTATTGTGTAAATTTTGTGCTTGCAATTAAATCAAGTATTGTTATTATTATAAAATAAAATTAAAAAGTCGATTTCATGAACATTAGTGGCTTTTGTACAAATTCATGATGATTATAATCACAAGAAAATACACAATACATCCACCCTCCATATCTCATACAAATTGAATTTTTAACTAACGCTTAACTTAAACACAAAGGTCGTAAAATATTTTAAAAAAAAAATATTCCTTTGGATTTTTTAATCGAACCAAGGTAAAGAACAAAACGACCATACCACTGCGATATAGCAACGACGAGAGTACATCAGCTACACAAATATATATATACCCGAGCACCCAATAAACTACTCAACAATGAATGATAATGATCTCTGATACCTGCCTACGGCTTTTTCTGTTGATCTAGGGAGGCGCTTCGTAGTTGAGAGGGTGGGTCACCCGGTAACTAAGGTCGTCAACCCCCTCGGCACCGTGATAACCGTCCCAGCTGACGAGGAGGACGCCCTGTCGCTCTGCGGGCCCTCGCATCAGTCACCGGCGTCGGCCGACCAAGATCCCGGCCCCTCGTCGTTTGGTTGCTCCCCGAGTCTGCCGCCGCCGAGCGTCTGCGCCGAGCAGGGCAGCTGGCCCGAGGCCGCCGAGGAGCCTCCAGCCGAGGCCCAGACCCTCCGCGGCCACACCGAGATCTGCGCGGAGATGCGGCCGGCCGACGAGCCCGCGGCCATCGACAGCGTGCCCGACTCGAGCATCGAGGAGCTCAAGGAGCGCCGAAGCCTCTGCGCCGAGGCTGCGCCCACTGCTGCCTGTTGCACCGTCGACCTCGACCGCGTGGGCGCCTTCCGGGACGTTCCCAGCAGCCCGAGCCTCTGCGCCGAGCGGGGCGCCGTGCCCGACTGCAGCAACGTCGCTGCTACCCCCGTTACGGCCCTACCCCTCGATTACCACCTGATCGAGGAACACGAGCAGCACTTGGCGCTCGGCTTGTCCGAGGAGCTCGTGGTACTTGCCAGCAAGACGCCAGGCTGCACCTCCTCGGACGATGATATCGAGCACATTAACATCACGGAAGAGCTCACCGACTCTTCTGCTGCTGTTGCCGACACGGCGACAACGACGACGACGACGATGGTAGTAATCGACGACGCGAGTCCCCAGCCTACGGAGCACGAGCAAGTTGAGCCGAGCAGGCAGCCCAGTGGCGGTGTCTTGTCCTCGGACGACGACATCGAACACGTGCTGCTGAGTGACGTAGCCGGCACCGCGGCCACCGGCAAGTCGAGCGCGAGGAGCGGCAGGAAGCGTAGCGAGGAGAAGCAGCGAGCTGCCGTCGCGGAGACGACGAGGATGCTCGTCGACAGGGAGCCGATGGTAAAGTCGAGCTCGAAGGAGACCAGCAAACCTGAGGAGATGCGTGCCTATGGGTTGCAGGAGCAAAAGATGCAGTTGCCACAGATACCGGCACCCCAGCAGCAGAGCCACTCGAAGAAGACACGAATGCGCGCCAAGCGCCAGATTTCCTCGGACATGGTCGAGATCATCAACATGGACGTGCCGTCGTTGGAGCGGCCTCCGTCTCCTCCTCCACCTCAGTCCGTTCTGCCGCTGCTACCACCGGCCCCATCGTCATCGTCGCCTTTGACCGAGAATTTCGAGGAGTCTCCCGATATGGTCGAGATAATCGACATTGACGCGATGGAGCGCGCGGAGAAGAGCAATAGCCGCTATCCCAAGACGCCGCCTCCAGAATGCAAGATCTTAATGCCCGTCAGGCCCGAGTTTGGGAAGAAAAAGTCCAAGCACCGCAGGAGGCAGCAGCAACAACAACAACAACAACAACAACAACAACAGCAGCCAAATCCGATATCGCCGCATGTTTCGACTGATCGGTGCGACTTGGATGAGCAGGAAGTAGAGAGGGACGATATCAGGGTGAGCTCGTCCTCGTGGAGCTCGATCGTGAGACACAGAAGCATCAGCAGCGGCAGCATGCACAAGTCCGAGTCCCCGGAGGCAGTGGTGCCAAAGCCGTTCTTTGAGCTCGAGAGCAGCCCCGGCGACGACGAAGCGGAGGCGAACAAGGAGAACGTTGACCTGAGCGCCAAACGCGAGGAACCCGACGACGAGCCGGAAGTCCTAGTTTACGAGTTGGAAACTCCCCGAAAGAAAAGTAGCAGTATCAGTAGCGTCGAAGAGCCAACTCTAGCCGAAGTGATGGCTACCAAACAGATCCCCGACTTGGTGGACTCGGAGACGAACAAGAAAAAGAAAACTAGCGAATCCGATTCAGAGGTGCTTGGTGTACTTGTGGAACGCTCCAATTCTCTGGACGAGGATCTTAATGCCAATAGTGCGCCACTCGTGGTTCTAATGGACACCGAGGAGGAGAGCAGCTGCTGCGGCAACGGTGCCGATACCGGCGCTGGACCTGAAATCGTTGCTGCTGGTGTTGTCGCGAGCATCGGTGATGGTATAGATAGCACAGAACGGCTAATGTCGCTGATGAGCGAGAAGAACGGCAGTATCGGGGATAGCGGCGCTACGCTGCTACCGGTCATGGCTGGTGCACTGTCGTCCAAGAAAGCCAGCCGCTCGAAGAAAAAAAAACGCAGATGAGTAGAGGATTGTGTCGATGTACCCAGGGCCGGACTCGCCCTCTACATACTCTTTTTGCAGGTCACGGGGGTGGATTAGCAGGAGGAGAGTAGGAGGCGCGGATCGACCGGATAGTTTATTGGTTGGACAGTTGTTAATACAGTAACGCGTGTTGAATTTGGAAGCTGGAGCGTGACGTGGAATTTGACTTTAGAGGAAAAAAAAAATAATAATAAATAATAATCCTGTGAATTTTTTGTGTGATTCATCATCGAGACGAGCGAGTAAATATCGTCTGTTGTTATCTTACCGGCGAGATTATAAAAAGTCATTGGCCTTAGATATTCGATTCGTGGATGGCTCACAAAGTTTTGTGTAGTTGTTATTCTCGTAGCTGTGATAAAAAAGTATAAGACAACTCTCATATAATAATACCGACGAGGATATCACTAATGTTCCTGAAATTATGTTATCAATCATATAACACAAAAGTTTTAATTTCGGTGTGGTCATCACAAGTTGTGTGTGATACAATGGTATATACATTACGCATTCGGGTGTAAAAAAAGTAAATAATATCGTCTCAAATCACGTGCACATTGTCGCTTGCGATGGGCATGTGTTTTTGGGCTTTCTTTTTAATCGCTTCCGTGATGCGTGTGTGTGTGTGTACTTCCGATTTCACGTGCCGATACGAGATACGAGTAGAAATGGGCCAAGTAAAAATGTAAAAAAAAAAAAAAAATAATTTAAATAGTACAATTGTTTAGTAAATCGAAATTTTCACGTGATTATGGACGTTGCGTCCATCAATCATTGCTGTTGCTATTGTCATAAGTGTGAATAAGGAAAATGCCATTGATTAAATTAAGTGTGATGATCCTTACTAAGAATTAAAGAAAGATGTAGTTTTTTTAACTCACAAAAATATTATAGATTAGCAACAGCAGGCGTTTGCGCTTGTGTGTGTTTTAATTGAAGCTTCGACAGATAAAGTAAATGCAAGTTGGATAAAGCAAGTTATGAACTGTTGTGTTGTAAACACAAGGGTACATTTGATATCGACGAAAACTTTAAACGATATTGATGAATATTTAATAAATTATGCGAACGATTGTCTTGATCGTTAAAAAATTTTATACAATCGGGCTGTAAGGTATCATTGGTAAAGAAAAAAAAAAAAAATTTTAAAAGATCGTTGAAGGAAAAGTAAGAAACGCTTATAGGTATACTCAACTATCTTTTGGACAATTATCTACAAGACACACAACTTTTAGTCTGATAGTTTTTTTTGTTTGAATACTTTTCATAAATTCCATTATTTCAAAGTGCTCTTACTTTTCCTGTTTATTACAAAAAATTGTATTTTTCTTAAATTATCGGTGTACATAAATGTTTACTTATTTATTAGTTTAATTTGAACGTCTTTATAATGTTCAAAATCATGTAGCAAATTGACAAATGAAATTATTTTCATTTTTTGTTATTTCACTTAATGTATCAACAGTATTTTTGTCCGTCTATTACATTAAGCAAAAAGTTATTAACAATTGCACCGATTAATTTATTGTTTGCACTTTGATTATTTAAAAAAAATAATGTATAATCAATAACTTACTAGGAAAAAAAAAAAAAAANTATAAAAATGAAATAGAAGAAAATAGTCGAGATTATTAATTTTATGTGATGAATTTTATCGACTCCTTTATTATTATTATGTATGTATTCTAACGTATAGACAAAAAATCAAGTGTTTATGGTCATTGTAAGGTGAACTAAAACAATGATATCTATATATTTATCTATTATGATGCATAATTTTTGCGTCCAGTATATTTAAAAATTTGTAACAAAGGAGAAAAAAAATATTTATTAAGTTTTTCGCTGAATTACCGCGTCAAACTTGAAGCAATTTTTGTTAATATGTATATGTGCATCAAGGCTAGGATTGTTACAGAGAAAAGCAATGAATGTATAATGGTGTATCAAATGTCCATTTGTTGAACATTAAAACTTGAAAATTAACATAATTTTTCTAGCATTAAGTATGTGTATTATTGATATTATCAATTCTGTCGACCAAAATCCCTTAGGTGCATATACGTTGCAATTCATCATTAGAATTTCGAGGTACCTATATATGTATATCTAATGCAATCGTTTGTTATTCGAGAAAAGAAAAACTAATAAACAACTAAGAAATTTTATCTTTACATATTATAACGTACGCATGCATGTATTTCTAAAGGTAAAATAAAAAAAAAAGAAGTACGTGAAAACGTAAGACGGTATAAAAACGTCGTGTTCGAGAATATAGACGTGTGATAATAACGAAGCAAAACAATTGAGTGAAAATAAAGTGATTGAAAACCAGGCAAATTTCGTTTCGTGATTTTATATTATTACCCCGACTATTGTGTGGTAGCAAAATTTTTAAGATTAAACATAATAAAAATAAAAAAATTAAAAAAAAGAAACCAGTAAAATTGCCTAACAAAATTTATCATAAATGTAACATTTGTAGGTGGCAACCAGTCACTAGCTAGCTGCGAGGACTTGAGTTCCAGCAGCTTCAGCTCAGCTAGTCGGGCATCTCTGGACGCGAGAAGCTCACCCACGGCTTCTTACAGTGCCGAGCACATGATGGTCTTTCCCGGGGACAGCAGTGGCTCCATATGAGCCTCGGCCAACCTCGTCGGCTGGATGCGCGTGCCTCTCTCCTACTATTTCAGAAAATGAGGAGAGCGTCGTCACGTTTTTTGGCCTCGCGTCTCCCAAGCCATTCTACATTATAGTCCCATCTTAGGCTCTGACAACGCGAGGCAGACTTCAATTTTCAGAGCATTGTTTTCTCATATGCTCGTTCAGTCATCATTTTTCTACTCCCCCTCGCCCATTTATTTCGTTTAAATTGAAGATTTTGCAATTGACGCGGAATTGTGAAAGTTAAGTGATCTTTATACAATACACTTTCAGAAGAAAAATGACAAAAAGAATCACATCACCAAGAGAATATATTTTAATCAAGTTATACGTATATTATATACATATGATTTTCTAAAATCGGAAACTTATATTTAGTCTCACCAAGACACTAAAATCTGAAATATTTATGTTTACTGTTTAATTTATAAATTGGGATATGTTTGGATTGTTGTTTTATCGTAACGTAAGTAGTACGTGTGAGAATCCTGATTCTTTAAGTTCAAATACTATTTTATGTTTTAAACTGTATGTGACGTACATATGTTAGTTTAATCTGTTTTAAAGCAGCCTGTTTATTTTGTGATGATCTCAGAATGATACCTCGTAAGCTATATTAATAAATAGCTGGCTTTTTAAAACAGGCTTTCTGTATACATCTGTTTAAAAAATTATTGACGTTGCATAGTTGTATGTACAGTTTTAAATATGGCTTGAATTTGAACTGTAGCCGTATTGTGTAAGTGTATATGTTAAAAAAAAAAAAAACAGAACAAAAAAATTGTACGTGTCACTACTGGATACGAAAAATTCAATATTCACGATAAATTTTTGAAACATAAAAGTTCTATTGACATACTTCATTATTTATTATCAGTTGAAAATGCTGGTAGTGATTTGTAACCAAACGTTCGCTGAGCCTCTTCAAATAATTAAAAGGTTCAAAATGAAATATTAATTTTCAAAATAGTTTTTTTACAATTAAATATATTAAAAAACCATCGACAATATTTTGATTCTATGTACTCGCACGGCCATCTAGTATCGAGCGTCAAAATATAGGTAAATCTATGCTAACACGTACATGCCCCTCCGACAGGTGTCATTTATGTCAACGTCACTATTTATTAAAGAAAAACGCACACGTAATATGTATGAGCTCGTAGCCACTTACTAACAGAAGCAAAAGCTTATACAATACAGTGTTGCCTCTATTTTGGTGTGCAACGTTGTAAACAAAAAAAAAGAGGACGAGAAAAACTTTGACGTTGGTAAGTGGTTAGCAAGTACGAAAAAATTTTACAAATTGTACAATTAAATGTATGATAAAAAAATGCGCCTCGTGCGACTTACAAAAAAAAGAAAAAAAAAAAATATCTAAATTGAAAAAGAAAAAAAAAAAGCAGTTCAAAATACTCTATTACGAAATATCTTTTCAAACGTATTATAAATTAAATCCTAACGTAACTCACCAGTTCATAATCATGCGTTAAAACATAATAACATTATAAGCGTACGTCCGCTGTGGAGTACAAAAAAAAATTTAATAAATAAACAATCGCAGACGCACCTCAAGGAACAAACCTTTCTAAGATGGGATATGGTACACACCCATTACATGTCATAAAGAAAACAAAAATTACCTCATAATGGTATACCCTAAATATATCTGTGTGCATGTGTCTGTTAGTGATCGCTTTTTCTTGATCGAGTTTTAGTTTGTGCAAGTGTGCATGCATGAGAAGAGCAATAGCCGCTATCCCAAGACGCCGCCTCCAGAATGCAAGATCTTAATGCCCGTTTTTTTTTTTTTTTTTTCTAGGCGTGCCTAAGGAAAAAGTGTGCGACGACACAGAAATTGAGTTAGAGGTAGAAGCTAAAGGGCAGTGGCCGCTGATAAGGAGCCCCAGTTCCTCAGATATAATACCTCCTCTGCTACCCAGCAGTCCACTGCTTGATGTCTCGATGACTCCGTCAAACAATTTGCAGTTCAATAGCAATGAAAGCGCTCGATGGTTGAGCCAAGTCGAAATGTGCACTCACTCTGGACCGCATCGTCGTCTCTGGATGGGACCTCAATTTGTTTTCAAAACTTACAACGCACCCAGCGGGTAAGATAAACTTAATCACTGCTTATTAATGCCCTTATTTTTCCGTAACAATATTAAGTTAATTGACGATAAGAGGAGTTCACGAGATTGTTGACAATTTTCAGAGTGGCTGCTAATCTCGTAGAGGCTGAAACCGTTGAGGTTGGCACGACTGGCGGCTCACGACCTGCTAGATCGAATCCTGTTAACATGCCTCGAGCTGGTAGCAGACCATTAGTACCGTTAGTCATCGATGGCTCGGGAAGTAAGTATTTCGGCTACTTATTCCTATAAGTTAGCATAAAATATAAAGATATAAAATCTATGATTACGTGTAATCAGGTAGTTATGAGCAGTCACCACGAGTCGTTGAAACCTATGGAGATGCGCTAGATCACGAAAATATCGACATACTTGGAGGTGGTGAGAATCAGTTACGAGAGGACCTTGCTGAAGCCATGCTCGAAACATCCTCGGTACCACATCCAGTGTCAGGTAAATTCAATAATTTACAAATTCTCGTAATAGGCGCGTCAATTCTCAATGGTGTATTTTAACTTTTACTAAAAATAATTTGCTCTCAAAGCTGGAACTTAATGTTGTTATTACTTTTTCACGCGTCATAAATAAATGAAAATAAAATTGTGTCATTGTTGCATACATTTATGTTGATTATGTACATTTACCATACGCATGAGATTATTTTGCTTTTTTATATTTTTCAATATTAATCCTTGAAAATTTTGCTACTCTGTGTGACAGTTAAGTTTGTCTTGTACTTTTTTTAAATAACATCGCACGTAAACACACATTCGTCTAACAATAAATTATACATTTGCGTTTTTCTGTACCTAAGTCGTACAATAAATAATGTATTTTAGTGAGCATTTTAATAAAATTTTTTTTAAATCTCGAAATGCAAGGCTAATTACATCGGGAAATTCAAAAGCGACTCTCATAGAATACAATTATAGCACACACATCCTTCTCAGTGCAAATATAATGTAAGCTATCGTTATTTACTGTACATATATTCATCATCTGCACATGGTTGAGGATGGTGGCTAGTTTTATTTGCATATACGCCTTCAATAAGTAAATATAGGCATAAGAATACGCGAAACACAGAACTAGCCAAAGGCAGGTATCTCTTTTGCACCTTTTCAAACTTTTTTTAAATCTCCATACATGTTTTACACCACACACTAGCAGTATTTTTTTCTCACTAATAGGGACCGCTTAAACGCTCTAGAAAAAAATCCTTGTTTCGTCATTTTTCTTGTCATTAGTCAAATAATACGTCTGAAGTCGAACTGTTGTTTATTATAAATTACAAAAAAAAAAAAAAGNTATTATGTATGTATTCTAACGTATAGACAAAAAATCAAGTGTTTATGGTCATTGTAAGGTGAACTAAAACAATGATATCTATATATTTATCTATTATGATGCATAATTTTTGCGTCCAGTATATTTAAAAATTTGTAACAAAGGAGAAAAAAAATATTTATTAAGTTTTTCGCTGAATTACCGCGTCAAACTTGAAGCAATTTTTGTTAATATGTATATGTGCATCAAGGCTAGGATTGTTACAGAGAAAAGCAATGAATGTATAATGGTGTATCAAATGTCCATTTGTTGAACATTAAAACTTGAAAATTAACATAATTTTTCTAGCATTAAGTATGTGTATTATTGATATTATCAATTCTGTCGACCAAAATCCCTTAGGTGCATATACGTTGCAATTCATCATTAGAATTTCGAGGTACCTATATATGTATATCTAATGCAATCGTTTGTTATTCGAGAAAAGAAAAACTAATAAACAACTAAGAAATTTTATCTTTACATATTATAACGTACGCATGCATGTATTTCTAAAGGTAAAATAAAAAAAAAAGAAGTACGTGAAAACGTAAGACGGTATAAAAACGTCGTGTTCGAGAATATAGACGTGTGATAATAACGAAGCAAAACAATTGAGTGAAAATAAAGTGATTGAAAACCAGGCAAATTTCGTTTCGTGATTTTATATTATTACCCCGACTATTGTGTGGTAGCAAAATTTTTAAGATTAAACATAATAAAAATAAAAAAATTAAAAAAAAGAAACCAGTAAAATTGCCTAACAAAATTTATCATAAATGTAACATTTGTAGGTGGCAACCAGTCACTAGCTAGCTGCGAGGACTTGAGTTCCAGCAGCTTCAGCTCAGCTAGTCGGGCATCTCTGGACGCGAGAAGCTCACCCACGGCTTCTTACAGTGCCGAGCACATGATGGTCTTTCCCGGGGACAGCAGTGGCTCCATATGAGCCTCGGCCAACCTCGTCGGCTGGATGCGCGTGCCTCTCTCCTACTATTTCAGAAAATGAGGAGAGCGTCGTCACGTTTTTTGGCCTCGCGTCTCCCAAGCCATTCTACATTATAGTCCCATCTTAGGCTCTGACAACGCGAGGCAGACTTCAATTTTCAGAGCATTGTTTTCTCATATGCTCGTTCAGTCATCATTTTTCTACTCCCCCTCGCCCATTTATTTCGTTTAAATTGAAGATTTTGCAATTGACGCGGAATTGTGAAAGTTAAGTGATCTTTATACAATACACTTTCAGAAGAAAAATGACAAAAAGAATCACATCACCAAGAGAATATATTTTAATCAAGTTATACGTATATTATATACATATGATTTTCTAAAATCGGAAACTTATATTTAGTCTCACCAAGACACTAAAATCTGAAATATTTATGTTTACTGTTTAATTTATAAATTGGGATATGTTTGGATTGTTGTTTTATCGTAACGTAAGTAGTACGTGTGAGAATCAGTAGCATTGCTAATAAGAATGATTCACTGAAAACATTGGTAAAGCAAAGAGGCGTCTTGCTTTCAAAATCTTAGGGCCCCGCCATATAATGTCTCACAAAGAAATATTAAAATACGCTCGAGTTTGGAGTGTAGAAAAAAAAAGTACTGATTCGAACAGCTTCGGAAGCGTATGGCACTTTTGTAAATGTAATGGTACTAAATACATTCCACACAAATGCTCAATTATTATTACTACTTTTACACGTATCTCAGATGAAAAATTTGATAAAAACCTCGAGAAAAAACACTTCTTATAGTAATTGATGAATTCCACACGCATTCCTTAAACAAACATTTTTAATTGTTTCCATGAGTGATTTGAACATTCGGGTACCCCGTATTAACACAGTATAAAATATTTGTAGTTAGTATTTGCAATCACACGTGACAATCCCCCAATAATTATTACATATTTCCAAGTCATACGTTACATGTAACTTTCAATCAGTCAAACCTTTAAGAGTTAAGTCGATGAAATAAGAACGAGATGTTTACTTTCGTGCCATTTTTGGTCCCTGGCTGATCATTTTCTAAAGTCTCTGCCTTCCACTAGATTATATTTTAAGTAATAGAGACAAAGAACAAAAAAAAAACAAAAAAAAAAAAACAAATAAGTCGCTGCTTTTGTGAAAAAATTAAAGCCCACTGTATTAATCAACCAAAATTTTTTTAAACGAGTAAACAAATTTCGTATGTACAGTACATATATTTTTATATTTTTTTTCTAAAAAAAGAAAATGAGGAGTAAGCAAGAAAAGTGATAAAAATATACTAGCGAGCGATTGAACCTCCTTGTGGCATTTTCGAGAGTATATATATATATTGGAAGCGTCGAAAATTATGTGAATATTTTATAAACTAAACAACAAGAGAAGAAATTGTAATCGTGCAGAATCACCTATTATTATTTGTATGCATACTGTATAATGTATATGTACTTTTATTAATGTACTGCATGTATACTGTTTCTTAAGTCTCAGTTTGTTTGTTATGTATTTAAACGAACGATCAGTCGTGCCTTTTCTTTAATTTTTTTTTTTTTTTTTTTTTTTTTTTTTAGAAGTGCATTTCATGTATCACTAAAATTGAATGCTTCGATTCAATTAATTATCCATAGGTGTTAACACTCATATTTTTAAATTTACAACCGCCTGTTTTTGCCCGTGACAGGACATCAACTACGTTTTTCAAATATTTAATGCTTTCCTAACTTTTTTATCACTACATTAAAAATGAAATAGAAGAAAATAGTCGAGATTATTAATTTTATGTGATGAATTTTATCGACTCCTTTATTATTATTATGTATGTATTCTAACGTATAGACAAAAAATCAAGTGTTTATGGTCATTGTAAGGTGAACTAAAACAATGATATCTATATATTTATCTATTATGATGCATAATTTTTGCGTCCAGTATATTTAAAAATTTGTAACAAAGGAGAAAAAAAATATTTATTAAGTTTTTCGCTGAATTACCGCGTCAAACTTGAAGCAATTTTTGTTAATATGTATATGTGCATCAAGGCTAGGATTGTTACAGAGAAAAGCAATGAATGTATAATGGTGTATCAAATGTCCATTTGTTGAACATTAAAACTTGAAAATTAACATAATTTTTCTAGCATTAAGTATGTGTATTATTGATATTATCAATTCTGTCGACCAAAATCCCTTAGGTGCATATACGTTGCAATTCATCATTAGAATTTCGAGGTACCTATATATGTATATCTAATGCAATCGTTTGTTATTCGAGAAAAGAAAAACTAATAAACAACTAAGAAATTTTATCTTTACATATTATAACGTACGCATGCATGTATTTCTAAAGGTAAAATAAAAAAAAAAGAAGTACGTGAAAACGTAAGACGGTATAAAAACGTCGTGTTCGAGAATATAGACGTGTGATAATAACGAAGCAAAACAATTGAGTGAAAATAAAGTGATTGAAAACCAGGCAAATTTCGTTTCGTGATTTTATATTATTACCCCGACTATTGTGTGGTAGCAAAATTTTTAAGATTAAACATAATAAAAATAAAAAAATTAAAAAAAAGAAACCAGTAAAATTGCCTAACAAAATTTATCATAAATGTAACATTTGTAGGTGGCAACCAGTCACTAGCTAGCTGCGAGGACTTGAGTTCCAGCAGCTTCAGCTCAGCTAGTCGGGCATCTCTGGACGCGAGAAGCTCACCCACGGCTTCTTACAGTGCCGAGCACATGATGGTCTTTCCCGGGGACAGCAGTGGCTCCATATGAGCCTCGGCCAACCTCGTCGGCTGGATGCGCGTGCCTCTCTCCTACTATTTCAGAAAATGAGGAGAGCGTCGTCACGTTTTTTGGCCTCGCGTCTCCCAAGCCATTCTACATTATAGTCCCATCTTAGGCTCTGACAACGCGAGGCAGACTTCAATTTTCAGAGCATTGTTTTCTCATATGCTCGTTCAGTCATCATTTTTCTACTCCCCCTCGCCCATTTATTTCGTTTAAATTGAAGATTTTGCAATTGACGCGGAATTGTGAAAGTTAAGTGATCTTTATACAATACACTTTCAGAAGAAAAATGACAAAAAGAATCACATCACCAAGAGAATATATTTTAATCAAGTTATACGTATATTATATACATATGATTTTCTAAAATCGGAAACTTATATTTAGTCTCACCAAGACACTAAAATCTGAAATATTTATGTTTACTGTTTAATTTATAAATTGGGATATGTTTGGATTGTTGTTTTATCGTAACGTAAGTAGTACGTGTGAGAATCAGTAGCATTGCTAATAAGAATGATTCACTGAAAACATTGGTAAAGCAAAGAGGCGTCTTGCTTTCAAAATCTTAGGGCCCCGCCATATAATGTCTCACAAAGAAATATTAAAATACGCTCGAGTTTGGAGTGTAGAAAAAAAAAGTACTGATTCGAACAGCTTCGGAAGCGTATGGCACTTTTGTAAATGTAATGGTACTAAATACATTCCACACAAATGCTCAATTATTATTACTACTTTTACACGTATCTCAGATGAAAAATTTGATAAAAACCTCGAGAAAAAACACTTCTTATAGTAATTGATGAATTCCACACGCATTCCTTAAACAAACATTTTTAATTGTTTCCATGAGTGATTTGAACATTCGGGTACCCCGTATTAACACAGTATAAAATATTTGTAGTTAGTATTTGCAATCACACGTGACAATCCCCCAATAATTATTACATATTTCCAAGTCATACGTTACATGTAACTTTCAATCAGTCAAACCTTTAAGAGTTAAGTCGATGAAATAAGAACGAGATGTTTACTTTCGTGCCATTTTTGGTCCCTGGCTGATCATTTTCTAAAGTCTCTGCCTTCCACTAGATTATATTTTAAGTAATAGAGACGAAGAACAAAAAAAAAACAAAAAAAAAAAAACAAATAAGTCGCTGCTTTTGTGAAAAAATTAAAGCCCACTGTATTAATCAACCAAAATTTTTTTAAACGAGTAAACAAATTTCGTATGTACAGTACATATATTTTTATATTTTTTTTCTAAAAAAAGAAAATGAGGAGTAAGCAAGAAAAGTGATAAAAATATACTAGCGAGCGATTGAACCTCCTTGTGGCATTTTCGAGAGTATATATATATATTGGAAGCGTCGAAAATTATGTGAATATTTTATAAACTAAACAACAAGAGAAGAAATTGTAATCGTGCAGAATCACCTATTATTATTTGTATGCATACTGTATAATGTATATGTACTTTTATTAATGTACTGCATGTATACTGTTTCTTAAGTCTCAGTTTGTTTGTTATGTATTTAAACGAACGATCAGTCGTGCCTTTTCTTTAATTTTTTTTTTTTTTTTTTTTTTTTTTTTTAGAAGTGCATTTCATGTATCACTAAAATTGAATGCTTCGATTCAATTAATTATCCATAGGTGTTAACACTCATATTTTTAAATTTACAACCGCCTGTTTTTGCCCGTGACAGGACATCAACTACGTTTTTCAAATATTTAATGCTTTCCTAACTTTTTTATCACTACATTAATGTGCATTAAAATTTAATTAAAATTCGTGTAAGAAATAACTTAGCGATTAATATATAAAGGGAAAAAAAAAAAAAAAAAAAAAAAAGAATTCAACCTACATACCTATGATTCGAAACAAACGGAGGCGCATGCAGATCCACGGATAGATGCGTGCGTCACTTTCGCAAGAGTTTGTCATTGAAAAATGTATATTTAACAAACCCTACACAACTTTGTAAACGGTAGAGAAAAATTTGACAAGTTTTTTTATTACGTGCAATTCTTACACCGACAATTACTAAATGTATATAAAACGTAACAGTGTAAGTATATTAGGAAGGAAAAAAAAGTTCAGAAAAATCTTGAGTATAACGCGTTCGCATGCATGTACATAATACAATATTCAGCATATATAACTTTACGTAATGTTACGGGGTATGCATTTTTTCAATAACATGCCTCCGTATGAATTTTGATAAATTTCTGTACACGTACTTTAGATTAATTCGACTAAAAACTAACCATAGGATCAATATGTTATACATTCCTGAAAAAATTTTTTATCTTTCGTTGGCCGTTGCATCAAAAATTCTTATTAACTAAAGTGATATATATATATATATATATTTAGTCTGCGAACTATACCAATCTTACTGTTAAATTATTTGTTATCACATTACATAAATATTTTTATTATTTGCTTATTATTAAATAATTATGTTAAGTTCTATCATTACATGTTACGCGCTAGTTCATATAGTAGTGAATAATCGTATTTTATCGATAAACAAAATATATTGTTACTGCTATTTCGCAAGCCTATTTTTATTTTTTTGTTTCTGCGTATTTATACTTTTATTCGATTTATCAGAAGGAAACAAAGCATTTTTTAAAACTTTCTTGTTAAACTGTGATTGCGAGTCTTGAAGGATTATTCAGTGAAATAGTCGTTACTTACGTAAAATTAATGAAAAAAAATTTTTTTTTCAAGTAAGTAAATGTATGAAAAGATACTTTTTTCATCTTTTGTAACACCGATGAGTTTGAAGGAAAAACAATTGAAAGGCGTTTTTTAACATGCGAAATCTGCACAATCTTTATGTGGAGTCACATTCAACTTTTTTGATACATAATATTCTATTGAAAAAAGTTTTTCTAAAACCATCAATTTAAGAATTATTAATCTGAATTTGTAATGGTTAACTCTTTAAATATACCCATTTAAATTTTTAAGTATCTGTTTATTCATCTCCTGTTATCCGTTATCCCAATGTAAACTTTCATGCTAATATTGATTTTTTTTATCACGGTGATGCATGAGTGTGTATGTGTACTATATTATGTACAATATACATAATTCACGTAAATTAAAAAAAAAAGATATTACGTTTTGATAAAAAAAATATATTTACACTAAACTTAAATATTTATATTTACAATTTTTTTATTAAAATTACCTGTAGGTACATCAAGGTCAACTAATAATGATTCTTTTGCANTGCTTTAAACGCGATATGGAAGTGAACTTGTGGAGAGCTCTGCTTACTACTGATAAAGAAGGTTTCTATTCTATTTGATGCCAGTAAGAATAATAAAATTGATCTATTTTCTTTTTTTCGACTACAAAAGATGAGGCTGGCTCTACAATTATACCTGAATCTATGATTAGAGAAAAAAAAATGCCAAGTATACGTACTGTTTTCGGAAATGGGCGACGAGGGGCTTTCGGGCAGTAATATTCCTTTTTGTACAAGCTCATCTCTGTTTGCGCGAACAGAGATTTTCCTTTCGAGAGCTAAAACGTAAAAAAAAAAATTAAACGTGAGTACCCATAACGTAAACATCAAGAAAATCACGTATTTTCTACTTACACCTTGACGCGGCCTCAAATTTGTCTGATTTCTTTTTCCGTTTCCACTTCCACGGCTTGAAGAGTCTACCGAACGCTGAAAACTTGCTCTTCCTCTCGAGCGGTGGCGTCCGCGTGCCGGAGCCCAGACTGTTTGTTCGCAGTGCTGCTCCATTTTGCTTTTTTGCTGCAAACAGAAAAACAGTCGAATAATTAAAATCATTATTATCCAATACGCTGAATAAACATAATAGAACAATTATATTTGGTTTGTGTTTAATAGTAAAAGGCGATTTCTATCGCACCGACGCATGGTATCAAAATTTCCGAAATAATTGTATCTACCTAGCAGCGATCTACCTTACCACGTCTGTGCGAGTGTTGCATCATTGCTATAAATGTGAGTCATAATAACAACAGCATCGAGTGAAGAATTGTATCTTATTTCTTTGGTGTGTTACAAAATCATGTGCAATATGACATCAGATTCGAATAATATGCTTAAAAATGCATGTTGCGTGTAATCGATTCTGCATGAACTTTTCGTTGGTAATAATTTTGAAGTAAAGCTTATTTTATTTGCCATCTTAACTTATGAGAATTAAAATTATGTGAATAAGAAATAGGGTCCCTGATACCGAGAAAGAGAGTGGGTATTTTTGTCTGAAGATGCAGTGTATATTATCATTTCGAGTGGGCTTTCATACGAGCATGTTTGCATTATGAATTCAAGTGCGCGCGCGAGGGCAAAAGAGCTTATAAACATAATATGGATATTGCGGGCATAATAATATGTGCACATACGAGTACGTGCACACTGTGAGTTAATTAATATTGGGTATTCATTCAAGAAAACAAAAAAAAAAATAATGTATTACAGACACACGAACGATGCAACAACATGTGCTGTCGTCAAAACAAAAAGCATCGCTCAAACTCTTTCGAATGAAATTCCACTCGAGTGAAGTCACTCTGATTATGCACGTTTTGTTTTGTTTCTGCGCAACTCTTTGTTTTGCAAAAGAAAAAAATGTAAGATCCACTTTTAAATCTATTTGCATAAAAGTAAAAACATATGCCTTGGAATATTTTTTTTTTTTTTTTTTTTTTTAGAAGTGCATTTCATGTATCACTAAAATTGAATGCTTCGATTCAATTAATTATCCATAGGTGTTAACACTCATATTTTTAAATTTACAACCGCCTGTTTTTGCCCGTGACAGGACATCAACTACGTTTTTCAAATATTTAATGCTTTCCTAACTTTTTTATCACTACATTAATGTGCATTAAAATTTAATTAAAATTCGTGTAAGAAATAACTTAGCGATTAATATATAAAGGGAAAAAAAAAAAAAAAAAAAAAAAAAAAAAAATAGATATTTATTGGGTTTTATGGTTATAGTTCAATAAGAAGTCGTTAAAACTTACCCATTCTGTGGACGGCAGAGGAAGAGCTTCACTTACTTTCAGAGCTTCAAGTTTTTCTTTGTTCATCAATTTATCCTTTATCTCCTTTGCCTCTTGAACTTGGGCGGCAAAGTACTCGCACATTTCGATGTCGTCGTCGGTCTCTTCATCGTCGTCTTCGATCAGTGGGAAGTCATCTTGTATTACTTCAAAATCTGGAATAGGTGTACAACGACCACCCACAGGCGTTCGACATTCCAGTGACCGCAAAATTGCCAATTCTATGAGAATTTCTGGATTTTGGCTGTCTTTTGCCAATGGTAACTTTTCATCGGACTGTAAAAAATGGAAATTATTTATATACCTGAAAGGTAACTGGTTATAATTGTTTTCAGTTTTTGTTAATAGATATACCTCATCATCTGAACTATCACTAGAGCTAGACGAATCGCTACTACTGGTGCTACTGCTACTGCTGCTGGAGGTACTCTGATCTTCATCAGACGATGTTGAGGTCGAGGAAGACGAGGGCGATGTGCTGGGAATATTTGCGATCGGCCTCTTGATAATAGCTTTCTGAGAAGTGTCCTCCAACTCAATATCGCTGTCACTATCAATAGGCTCGGTAAGGGGTTCTTTGTTGTTATCACTAATGCGACCATCGGCAGACAATCGACTGTCTTCATCTTGCGCCGCGACTGGACTGGGAGCTTTAATTTTACGCTATAAACAGTAAAACGAGCGAATTAGTAAGGTAGATGAAAAAATAAAGTCTTGTTTTGAAAAATTAGTGTATGAAGATTTTACTCTGAAGGACGGCATTTTTGGCATGCTAGCCCTGATTCCCAGACCAAAACCATCGTAATTTAAGCCTATTGGAGTGGTCGCCTGTTCAAAGACCGATGTGATGTTCTTTTGCTCTTCTTTGACAGCTGGTGCCACAGGGATCGTTGGAGCTGGCGGTGGAGCCTCAGGAACTGGAGCAGCTACTGGCACGGAAACAGCAGCACTGCCAGCAGCAGGCTTCTTTTCCGTATTCTTACGCTCCTCCCACCAGACTTCGAATAACTTGAAAGCCGTATTCTCGACCATCTTCTTGTTGAAATCTTTCTTCAGAATTTGCTTTAATTCGTCGACAACCCGAGTAAGAACACCATTGATGGTAGGTCCCTGCGGATTGTCCCTAGTAATGCTTTGGTTGGCCATTGCTTGCAATCTTGATTGGAAATTCTGATAGTAGCCGCTGTTTTGTGGTGGTGGTCCCAGACCAATGCCAGGAGCCGGTACACCATGGAGTACACCTACAGCGGCTGCAGCTGGTTGATACTGATTTGGCAAGTAAGCTGCAACTGCTGCAGTGGCCGGGTATGGATATGGATACGGGCCGGGCCGTGGCCACTGCTGTTGTGGCTGTTGCATTAGAGGTGGCTGAGAGTAGACTTGATGGTGTCCTGTTGTCGTTGCGACTATTGGAGGAGTCGGGTAATGCGACAGATGCGCCATAGTCGAATAACTTGGGTACAGCTGATTTGCGGCATCGTGGGTTGCAATCTTCGAATCGAAGGTAGAAATACACTTTTCTACTGTTATGAACTAAATTTTGGCATGCAGCAAACAGCAAACAATTTAATTTTTTTTTTTTTTTTACGTTCATTAGCGTTCTTATGATGTATTGAAAAGATTAGAGATTCTATAACTTTACTTTATAAATAAGCTTAGAAAAAAAAATTTGATTTACAAGTTCTAAATACAGTAACTAAAGAAATAAAACAAATTTTAAAAGCAAGCTACAATAAAAAAGCTACACTAGATCAATTTTACAGTAATTGAAATAACAGTGATTGATAATCGTACCTCTTCTATCTTTTCATCACCAGAACTCAACGGACTGAGAGACATATCATCATCTAAGGTTGATGAAGGAGGTTGCTCTTTGGAAGGTTCTAACTCTTTAGTTTTTTCACCATCAGCAGCAGCAGCAGCAGCAGGACTATAGCTGCCCAGAAGGAATTCATCCTCGCTGGAACTGATAATGCTACCAAGATCCTCATCAACACCTGCCGACTTTGGTATTTGGTTAAGACTGTTCTGACGCACCCTACGCCTATCTCTGTTGCGCTGCACTTGTTTCTGAAAACACTCTTCGTAGGCTGCATGAGTTATGAAAGGACTTGGTGGCTCTGACAACATTTCTTCATCCGCATTCGATTTTTTTTCGTCTTCCGAGTCACTGCCAAATTGCAAAAACGGCGGAGCCATTCCTCCGGCCTTGTCTTTCAGCAGCATCGCTATCCTCGTATCGAGATCTAGAGTTTTGCGCGATTCATCGGGAGACTCATTCCTCAAATCTTTGGTTGGCGTGTGCACAGCTGATGTGTCAGAATCTGCTGGAGACTCAGTAGCTGTTCCAAACGCCGGATCCTTTTTTTTCGATGCTAAAGCCTGCTTTGCATTTGTGGAGGAAAGCTCGGTCGCGGAGGAAAGAGGAGTTACCCTGGCAGATTGTGTGGGCATCACAACCATGGAGGCGTCTGGCAGTGCAAGGGTCGCTGGTGGAGGCCATGACGTGTTTGGTGGGAAAATGGCACCTCGAGTATCCGGCGCGGTTGCATTAGGCCACCAGACACCAGGAGCTGTCGGGAGTTGTGGGGGGACTCCCGGAGGTATACCACCAATGAAGTTGGTTGACTGGTTTGGCGGTACATGATGCGATTGTTGTGCTTGATGATGGTGGTGGTGATGAAAATTACCATAATAGTACTCGTAATTACCAACTGGCGTAGAATTTTGCGCGAAACCAGCTGGGTAATTTATATCACTGGCTCCTGCGCCATAACCTAAATCACTATTACTAGCACTTGTAACACTTGGAGTTGGATAATCACCTCTATAGGACGAACTTCCTTTGTTTGTCAATCTCGAGTTTTCTACATAAGAGTCCCTACTTTTGTCGATATTTGACTTTTTATTATGCCTACTGTAATCATCTCTTTCATCTGCGGTTACAGTTGGAGCTTTATCAACAACTGGAGTTGTTTGTGTTCTTTTAGTCGGTTCTACATCAGTCTAAAAATTGTATGCATACATTACAAAAAAGTTTTTTTTTTTTTCTCAATAGAATGATACGTAAAACAAAGTAACATTCTTACCTTGATGGGTGGTGTTGGTGGAATAACATTGACCAGTGACTTAGGCTCTTCTTTCGCTTTTTTTTCAACGTTTTTCTCAACTTTCTTTTCAAGTGTTAAGTCATGATAATGTTTGTTGCATTCTTTACCAAAAGGATCGAGAAACACCTTTAACACTTTACCCATCACAGACGTACTATTTAATTTTTCTACACACGCTTTAGAAGCTTTAGTAGTTTCAAACACAGCTCTAGCTATTCCAAGATGCTTACTAGTTACTGGATGATAATATATTGTAAGTTCTTCTGTTGGACCAAACTTATGAACCATATCAGAAAGAAACGTCCTGTCAATATTGTCATTTAAATGGCAAAAAGTCACTTCCAACGGTGGAGGATCTCCACAGTAATTAGAATCTATTTTGAACCTAGGTACTGGCAAATCAAGTTGTTCCACCCTTGTCCATATTCTAGTCAGCTGTGAGCGCGGATCCCTTACCTGAATATCAGGATAAGTGGGATCACCGGGAACAAAACCATCGTATCTATAAACTTTGGTAGCTCCTTTCTTGAGAAACGGATCCACCAGGAGCTTCCAATTTCTAAATTTTTGCGTCAAGGAGGTCGCAGCACCGGCAGAGCTACCACCAGAAGTAGTGCCAGCACCAACAGTGGTCGCTGCGACTGTAGGTGGCTCTTTTTGTAAATGCGATTGACCGTAATTGCGCTTTCCGCTGGGCAGTGGAGGCTGCAGCTCTTTGGGATGGTGGTGATAGTGGTGCTGCTGCGGCTCTTTGGGATGGTGATTCTGCAGTTCCTTGGAATGGTAATGCTGTAGATCTTTGGGATAATGGTGCTGCAGTTCCTTCGGATGATGGTGATACAGCTCCTTTGAATTGTGCTGCTGCTGGTAGTGGTGATAATCACGATGGTGATGGGGCCCAGTATTAGAATTGTGAGAGACATTGTGGGAGCTGCTGTTGCTGTAAGATGACGACGACGGTGGTGGCAAGTGATGGTGATGCGCCACTGAAGAGCTACTACCAGCACTAGAACCACCCTGCGTGTGGTGATGCGACGACGAGGAGGAGGACGAAGAAGATCGGTGGTGATGATGGTGGTGATGGTGATGAGAGTGCGAGTGGCCGTGTCCACGTCCATGTCTTTCCATGCCGTTCATCGCCAGCGCGCATCATCCATTCGTGCAACAAGACGCAGCTCTTTTTCAACTCGATGACGAAAAGGAGCAGACGCTCGCTACCGGCAACGAATTCCGATGATAGCAATGATAGACTCGCACTTCTCGTACATCAGTTGACGTGGATTCAAGCGTGCTGGTAGTATAGTTTTTTCCTCTCCCAACTGCCGATGCTGCTACTACCACTTGCTCGGGGAAGCACTTCAAAGCCGCGAGTTTCATTGAGGCCACTACCTCTAGTACCGACTGGTCTCTCAAAGTAACTGATGTCTTTGACGTTGACCAAGTTTTTCTCAAGCTATCGAGTGTTTAGACTTCTCCTCTACGAACGAAGCAGCAACATAACCTATACGATACGAGGGTACAGATAAACCTCGACATCACTTGGACTTTAATCGATTTCCTTCGGGTCTACATAATCCTCAAGTTTCCAAATTTCAGGACTTGCTTCAACGTAAATTCGGTCTTGTTTTTCCAAAACTTTTTCAACGACCATAAATAGCAGCTCACCACACAATATACACTTACACGGAGAGGGGGGAGGGGTGGTGGTGGTGCCTGTACTGCGAAGTGCGAACTGACGCGTCGTGTGTGTGTGTGTCGCTCTCGCGAAATGCGTGATAAGTATGCGTGCACTACAAAATTGCAGGAAGCTATTTTGGTGCTCGACGCGGGCTTAAATGTTTTTCGCACATTTTACTCTTTTCTGAATAGGGTTTAAAAAATTAACTAGAGAACCTGAATAATTGTAAACTAGTTTTTTACGTATGCTGAGTATATATACGAACAAAACAAATAAGTAGTGTACTCATTCAGCGGACACACACGCACGCGCGTTTTACACCACTCTCTCTCTCTCTCACTCTATCGTAAACAAATAGCAAGTAGCAAGCATGGCATCACTCGTCCGTTCGTGTGCATCTTTGTTTGTTTTTTTTTTTTTTTTTTCTTGGCTGTCACAAACTAGATGTCCCCTGGGTCCTGGGTCCCTCTTTACGCAAGATGCCCTGTTCAAAGTTACCTGGCCTGTAAATAAGGCCTCGCCATTCCATTTAGTACATTTGCTTAATTTCTCAACGATCCGAAATTTTTTGCGTTTTCTCATGATGCAACTCTCCAAATAGTCTCTCCAACCGACAATAATCAGCGGGAAAAAATATCTATCAATCAAAAGTATTGCATGTGTATCGAGCCTTTCTTTATGTTTATCTTTGTATGTATCACCTGGATTAGAAAATGTCTTAATTGTTTTGATATCTACAAAAGAGTATCTCACACAGTATCTCGTCGTTGTTTCACACATTTCCTATGATATGAGCGATTGAATCAAGGATGACGCTGAAGTTGCATGAATTTACCTTTTTTGTTCTCTCTCTGACGTGCGTGCTTCTCTTCAATCGTCTATCGTAGGTATAAGTACTCTTTTTACACTCCAAAACATAAAAAAATACGCGTGAGTGAGCTGTGAGCGATTTTATTAATAAGTGCATGTATGTTCCTATACTCACAAATAATAAAAGCAGTAAAAAAGATGATGATATGTACAGGGAGAAGGGGTAGAGGTGGGGAGAAGGAAGCAAGCAAGAGCGTCGTGTCGACGCGACACTTTTTTCTCTCCTTCTCTTCCTCTCCGAGAATCCGGTGGAAAAAGAGAGACGGAAATCGAGAAATAAAATATTTTGTTTGCTCCGATGGCTTCGAATTTTTTTTTCAATTTTTTCATATCTGGCTGCGAATCTTTTTAAGCAAAATCACAAATCACAATCTCAAAACCGTAGTTCAATCAAAACCAAATTTTTATTTTTGATTTGTATTTAAAAATTTGATTTGATATTTATATCTATCGACGCATATACGCGAAAAAAACACACTCGCTAGATGGCGCGGATCCACGTGACTTGAATTTTTTCTTTTTTTTTCTTTTTTAACAAACTTCGAACTCTTCGAAGTAGGTATCGGTGAAAATATTGAGTCATATATCACGCACGTAAATTTGAAGTTGAATGTTTACGTAAAGCCACGGCTCGGAAACAGAATATATTTTCCAAGGATGTTAGTTTTGAGTTGATAGCACTTAATAACTTACAACTAACGAAAGTTTGATTGAGACTAATTTATTGCTAAAACAGTTTAGCACCCACATGAATGTTGAATTAAATGTGCGCAATGTGCACAAAGAAAAATAGATACAGATGATTTTATTAACCACAAGATAAAAGCATTTTTGTTTCAAATTGGTGATAAAGTGTAGTTTCGTATGTCCCGACTCCCGATTTGATCACAGCGATAAATTCGCCATTCGCTGAGCGTGAGAGACAGAGAGAGAAACAACAATGCTCTGTACAATTTCTCGTCTGCTATCAGCTGTTGTGTGTGGAGGAGAGAGTTCTATATATATGCACAGAGAAAAATAAGTTTTCAAGAGGAAAGAAAAAAACTCAAAAGAGTTACCGGGCGTTTTAAACAAATTAGTTGGTGATTATTTCAAAGTCGAATTTTAACAAGTGTCGTGAAGATGTCCTCGTTCTTTAGATCGTTCGCCGAGCGGTTCACACCGATCGTCAAGGCTGAGGACGAGGAGGCAGAACTCGTCGACCCGCAGACGGTGCTTCGAGTAAGTGTTTATTATAATGCCATTACGTAACGCTTTTTTAAACAAATGTCTCCGTTCTATCTCTGTTTTTGTTGAAGATTGCATTTTTCGCTCCTCCATTGTGGCATTTTTTTTAACCGCGACTTGTAATCTTGCGTTTCCGTGCACGCCCAGAGAAGTGCCACTAAGTGACTCAATTTTTGCATGACCGCTAGTCAACGTAAGGCCGTTATGATTATAGGAAAAATGCTCGGGCACCAAGGAATGCTCTAAATTCAAGGAGGTACTCGACACCTGCAACGACCGCGTCAATTCCAGAAGCCAGACAGCCGAGACCTGCGTCGAAGAGGTTATCGACTTCATGAGCTGCATTGATCACTGTGCCGCCAAGACCCTCTTCCACCACCTCAAATAACCTGGCCCGTTCGACGGACAAACGATAATATCATTGCCACGATTAGAGCTTTCTTATTGTCATTGTTTTGTTAATTGGTTCTCTTTTTCACTGTCCTCTTACTTACTTGTAAATAGATTTGATGGCAGTGTTGAGTGACAACAGTAACATAATCATGTCCATTCAATGGTTATATACGCGATCAAGTAATAAATAATAGGCATTTGTTGAAATTCTAGTAAAATTTACATTTAAATTATTTGTAGTATAGTTTTGATTACTGACTCTGGTTTATTTCTTTCAAATACTTACTACCCGAGTTTTATATATTCTTTCAAACAAGTTGAATCCTAATGTCCACTGTAGTTAAATTAAAAATAGTATGTTACCACTTTACTTTTATTTTTTACACTTAAACAAATCTTAGTTTTTACCTGTATAAGAAAGGAATTTTTTCAATTTTCTTGGAGTGAGAAAAAATCAATACTCGAGCAAGGACACGTTGCATATTAATTAATAACATTTTATTTACGAATAATATATCAATGTATATAATATATACAGACCAAAATATATTTGGATACAAGATTTGTCAGTAATAAATTTACTGTGCACAAACTTACAAAATATAACAATTACATACACCTGCACACAGAAAAATGTTTGACTATACGTGAAGCATCTTGGACTTTGAAATCAAATGTAATTTCACAACTTATTACACGTCCTTTTATATTTTCACAATATGGTATTTTCATGTAAAAGATTTCAACACAATAACCCTATGAGCGCTGCACAAAATTCAACAGAAAGAAGAGTTATAAAGATTTTCATATTCCAACTGGTCCAAGAGTATAAATCATATAATATCTGGTTTTATTGTTTGAATATTTTATAAGAAATATAATAACAAATCGGTTTTCTTAGATACTATAAAAAATTACCCTATATGCAAAATCAATCCAAATTCTACAAGTGTCTTAATATAAATTAATATGCTTGTTATTAGATGCAAAATTAAAGTTCATATGCTTGCTAACTTCAAATAATGACTAATTACCTGAAACAGTAAAGACTAATTGAAGAAAAAAAAATTGAAATAAGTCAATCGCTTTGGCACATTCTCTCTGTCATTCTTTTAAATCACGAATAATTTTTTAAACATAACTTAAACGTTAAAATTTTCGAGAACCAAGCCAAGTTTTGATAAGTTTTTCAAACAATAAATATCCAATTTTTTTCGTCAATTTCATTTGATACTCTGACTTTAAAAACAAGTTTAACATTCATACATACACGTTGATGGTTTGTAATATTGAAAAATGCAATTCAATATTGAATAAACTATAGATAAAAATAGCTGTAAGAGAATGTAAACTAACATTTATAAGCTCCAATAATTCATTTTTAAAAAAGCAATTAACAGTTAAGTTTTCGTTTTCCTACAGTTTTTACATCAGTCAAAATATTAATTTATATTTTTATTTCTTCTTGTAGGAACTACTGGATTTAAAAAAACTACTTTGTAAGGGTTTATTAAAATTATGAATGAATAACATTTTTAAAAACTGCATGAATTGCAATTACAAGGTTAACTGTCGCCATAAAATAATTTAATACTCTAGTGAAAAGACAATAGACTTAAGTCTAAAGCTGTAAAAATTAGTTAAAATTAAAATTTGCATGGGATATTCAAAGGTTCTAAGTTAGAACATAACATCAAGCTTACATAAACTGCTTACTAGTCAAATCTTAAGGAACACTAATGACTAATAGATACCGATAGAGAAATTCTCATCAAAAATGTTTATATACTTCTTATAAACAAACTATTTAGTGAAATAATGTCAGGTGATAGCTGCTTAAGACACCCCAACTAACAATAAACCTGATCTCACTAATGTTCAAGATACGTGATTGTGCTTACTATACCCTTTAATAACTAAGCTTGGCCAATTTAATTTTGCATGAAAAGTCTCTTATGTGCCAATGACATTTCTGTCTAATATCACGAGTCGATTGAGAAATGCCCGCCCTATGCTTTTTCAATCAGTCACGAGAGCGCGAGATTCGCCTTAATAATTAAAAAAAATTTTAACCCTAATTGTTTCTTCAGAAAATTTCTTTAAAGATAAATCACATTATGACAATCATTGATTACCTTTTTAGATACACATTAAATCCACAAAATTGAAGATTTCTCAACTGTTGATGCACAACAATGTGTAATCATAAAATCATCCAGCGAAAGAGATCGTTTGAAACTTTTTTTCTTTTTTCTTTTTTTTACACTGATTTGGTACTAAATTTTAATTTTTATATGTCATCGCCAAAGCAGATAGGTATGGATTGCGTATCAAGGTCTGCTGAAACGCACGACTTTAAAGCTATAGTATGAAAATACAAACGTTATTTGTTCTCCATTATAAATTTCGAATAAATAACGCAAAATTCTGGCATACATAGCATCATGGTATTATGCCATTTACTGATTTTGCGTACGACGATCCCCTAAAACATTTTCCAATTTTTTGGAAATCAAAGTTTGAGAGGTTACTATTTTTTTCGAATTCGGTTCGTCTTCCACTTGTAGGGTTGACGAATCATCAGAGAGCAAGCGCTTACCAACACATTTTCTCGCATCAACTGATGTTACCATTTTGTTGATTGACTCCAAGTCCTAAAAAAAAGTTATTTATTTATTATTGAATTAAATGCAATTTTTTACAAGTTGTACGTGAAAATTTCAAATTACCTTGGCAGGGCTACGACTGAAACAGTATTGCAGTTGGGGCGCAGGCGAGGCCATAATTTCTTTAGGATCCAATACACGCGTCATCACACTTTCCGTAACTCGACGAACAGGTGAACTGTTGATGATTGTACGACCCTTTGGAAGTGGACTCAGAGTAAGATTTGAAATATTACCCTCAGCCAAACCCAATTTTTTGGCAAAGTCTTTTACTTCTGGTACATAGATAGTGTTGTAGAATTTGATCAGATCACCACGTTCGTCGGACCCGTAGATACGCGAGGTCGCTGCCATTTCGGATGGAGAAGGTGGCGTCAAGTTGCTCAATGCGTTATTTCTATCGCCACGAAAATATTTAACGTTAAATAATTATTCTCAAGTTTTATGAGAGAATACTGTGCAGTCACTCTTACCTGGTAACATTTTCCGCCATCGCTTCTGCGTTATTTGATACTCTAGAAATAAGAACCGAGCGATATATATGCGACTCAGCCTGGGGCTGCATTCTGTAACAGCGCATAATTTCTGTGAAGGTATTCTTCTCGATCTTGCCAAGTTTGCAAATTACGTAAACGGCGGACATGAGTATTTGATCCAGATGACGGTCCTTCATAAGGTGGGTTCTCTCCATGATCGAGTACTCAAAAATTGTCCAAATTTTCTTCTTAAGATCAGTCTCTGTGATATTTAAGGCATTGCAGATGGTCTGCATGCGCGTGATGGTGAGATTATAAAATTTACGGAAGAAAAGCGCGAGCGAGCCTGTCCTACGGGGTTTACTCTGATCGCGGTTTATCGTGGCTATTGGAGTACTCGAAACTGGACCACCACTGTTTTTCTGCTCAGAATTGAGGTTTAATCTTGATATCAGGCTTGGATTGCCACCAGCTTTCAATACACTCTGCGTCGTGGGCTTTGGGTCTGCGAAAAGACGTTTTTTAACGAGACCCGATACTGGCACTGGTGATTGAAATCTAAGGAAATAACAAAAATTAGTACATTAAATTAAAAATGTCACAGGACCGCAATAATGCCTTTCTATATTGATAAAAACGAACCTTTCGGAAGCCGAAGAGATGGGACTTTGAGTAACATCACTGTGATGTGCTCCTCGATCGAGAGCAATTCTTCTTAGAACCGGCTGACCTGGGGTATTAGGATCCACCAGGTCAAACGTACCTGGCAGTGCGACATCCTCGAAGGATGGCACACCACCTTCACAACTCTCAAGTGCTTGCCACAGAGGTCCACCTGATTTCCAGGCCAAAGATTCCAGAATCATTTCCTCGATGCGATTCAAGTGCTTGACCATGTCTCGCGTTAGCTGATCTACAGCTACCTTGACAATAACCTCAATGACTTTGTAAAAACAGTAGGCTTCCAAATTGAGTGCTCCCAAAATCCAAGGAAACGTCCTGTCCTTGTTTTGATACGAGTAAACGATGATTTCGCAGCAGCATGCAAACATGCACTTGAGAAAAACTTCGTTTTTCAAGAGAGTCTGTAATCAATAAATGGAAAGTTTATTTCAAGTTCAACAATAAGCAAATCGAAAACAAAGGTAATTGGTCACATGATTTAACTTACCGCTACATCGAAATTTGGTTTTTTTGCCTTTTCGTCATTCAAAACCATTTCCAAAACTTTATAAAATAGTGTTTGTGACGACTGTAAACGCTTCTTGCCAAAGTCTATAGAGTTGTCTAGTTGATCGACAACTTTCGGCGAATATGCATCACAAAATAATTTTCCCAATTCTTTAACTTTACTCTCTACGAAAGCTTGAGTATCCGACGAGCTGTTGTTAAAAATTTCAAGAAGGGCATCAGATGGTGCCGCTTGACAGCCAACTAGAAGCGATTGCAAACGAATGACGCTTTGCGCTGGATTCGATGTAGGAGCAGCATTTGACACATCCTTCGTTTTCAAGTATTTACGGCCAGTAAGAGGTGTGGGAGGTGCCAAATGTTGCATCTGTTAATAAAATAAAATAATCCAAGTATTGAATTTTCAACATACCATGACGCATTCATTCATACACTCGTAAGAATCTTACCGTTGCTAGTTGTTCTTTTTTAGATTGAAACTGTTCTTGGAGGTCATGAATATTTAGCATTTTAGAAGGCGATGAGCCAATACTATGAATGGAGTCTGGTCCTGAAAGAAATTTTTAAAAAATGTATCATTAAAAAATTGTAGAACGATTACAACGATGGCAAATATTCAATTTAAAATTTGTTTTAAAACTTTATCACAGTACTAATATTACTTAATACTTGTAGTTGGTTTTCATGACAATCAAGTTTCATTATTTCATAGTTGGATATTTTTTTAAAGTAAAAAAAAATTCTGAAACCGATTTTTTTATAAAAGGTTAAATATACGTGCAATAATTACAGAAATATATAAAAATGATAAAAAAATAACCCCAACGTATTAAATTGCTTATTGATGTGAAGTGCACGTTTTTTGTTTAAAACAAACCCACCTTTTGTTATACACCAAGCTATTTCTTCGTCATTAAGTGGCGCACGTGATACACCATCTAATCTTATCCTTCTCCACTCAGCTGAATTTCAAAGTGATGGCAAAGCAGGTTCACACATTGGTTAGCAACGGAAAATAAAATTGATGGAAAAGGAGAGAATAAAAAGAACACAATCAAGCTAGGTAATAAAAAATAATAAAAAAAAAAAAAAAAAAAAAAAAAAAAAAAAAAAAAAAAAAAANTTTTTTATGATACAAACAATTCTTCAGAACCATGGTATTTTTTCTTATCAATCGTCAAGTAAAAATAATTTTTTTTTTCACAAATACGAATTCTTCTCACATCTAACTAATAATGATAGAAAATTTGCATACCTCTCGGCTAGAGTTTACAGGAAACTAAATAATAACTCTGATTTTGTTCTTATAAAATGTTTTACATTAAGTTGTATTTTTTATTTACAAAAATATTAGTTGAGGGTGTGAGGGCACAATGAGTTGAGAAATGAACGAATTTATCACGATGAAGCAATAAAAAATGAACTTTTTTTGAGCGTCAATACTCAGTACTAAGGCGCTTCACCGCCCAAACATATAATTGCAACGTTCTTTGATAGTTTATTTAATTTAAAGTTCCTCTACACTGAGGCGCTCCACATAAACAAGGAATCTTATCCTCCTCCAATGGGAATTTGTAATCATAAGTGATTTCTTCGTTTACACTGATTGGCTGCTTACTGTAGATCACAATTTTTTTCTGATTTTCAATAGTAATAACCTTGGCATAGCAATTCGGCTGTAATCCGATTAAAAAAAATAGTTAGTTAAAATTTCATGTTATAATTGAGAACACAATTGTCATTCGTAATGCAAGAAATACGTACGTTACAACTATGATTGATGAAACGAGCGAGATTACCGCATTTAGTCGCATCAATAATAGTATCTAAGTCAATACGGAACAAATAGGAACTGCCTATGCCTGTGGCTTCGTACTGGGTTTCACGTAGATCGGCGACGATTGGCCTGATCATTTGTCCGACGTATTCTATCACCATTTCATCAGCCGCTATCGGCTCCATGGCGAACAATCCCCAGTCATGAATTCCGGATTTAGCGAATTTCAATTGTTTCTTTCGGAACTGTAAAAAAATAATGTATGTTATTATATACATACCTGCCAACACTGAAGCTATTTTGTTTGATTTATTTGTATAATTAAAAACTAAGTTACATGACTTACCTTAAGTTGATTGAATTTAAGTAAATCGCTATCAGTGTCTATGCCAAAGGCTGTTAACAAGCGTCTCTGATTACTTCTAGCTTCTCGGGATAACGCCTGCATTTTGCCAGTTACACCTTTCGAGCTGGCTTTTGGCCTATTAATTGCTAAAACGTTCCCACCATCGTATCCACCAAGCATACGACTGCTGTAACCCGAGGAATCTCGAATATCTTCGTTACGCTGAATGCTCTGTGCATAGTGATGTTTGTGTTTCATTTTTTCTTTGACATCGACCTTATAGTAACCCTCGGTTCTGGCGCAACCAGTTACGTGTATACGATAATCTTCTCTTTTCCGTTTTTTCGCTGGACTAGGTACGTTAGTTGCTGGATGATCGACCCAGTGGGTATCGTTTAGCCAGTAACTTTGCGCATCATCAGCAAGAAGAGACTCATAGCTTCGACGAAGATACTCAATATCCTCGTGGTCGATGCCTTTCGTTAGAAACTCGTAGAGTATTTCCATTTCAGACAAGATATTGCGTTCCTTGTAAATCATAGGCGTAGAATATTGGTGAGACGGTGGCAGTGACTCTTGCATCAACGGGGGAACCATATGGATGTTTTCTTTTTCTCGCTCATTATTCGTCTCCAGAGTAACTGCATTGTTATTAGGCTTGGCATGCTTGTTCTTTCTATTTTCCACCTTGTTCGATATTTTATCCAAAACTTTGATCTGCTTTCCGTTTTGCTGGGTATCGTCGATTTCCATTGGTGCATGTTTCTGTTGTTGTTGCAAAGGTGTCAACACCTGTTGTTGTTGTTGTTGTTGTTGCTTTTGTTGATCAAACAACGCAGGAGGTATCGAATACGAGTGCTCGAGAAAAACTCGAGATAGACTCTTACGCCTTTCAATATTACGCTGCACCTCTGCATCAGCTTGTAACCGTAATCTCTTAACTTCCAAGCTTTCGTCCTCGGAATCAGAAGTCGGAATTTCACTGAACATCTCGATTTTCTCCGACTCTTTGAGTATAGGCTCGTCGGTGATATACCTATCAGACATAGTCTGTAATTTCTTAATGATACTTAATTCAGCGACCGGTGTTGGCTGCCGGGCTGGGCTGGGAATCCTCGCAATGGGTTTGCTATCTTGGGTCGCAAGTGAAATAAGAGCTTCCACTGCTGAAGTTTCCAAATTCTCGACATCTCTTTGTACAACTGCAGTTACAGGCTCTTGACTGACAGTGGTGTCTGCTATTGGAGTTATTACAGCTTGACCAGACTAAAAAAAAAAAAATAAAAAAAAAAAAATAGATATTTATTGGGTTTTATGGTTATAGTTCAATAAGAAGTCGTTAAAACTTACCCATTCTGTGGACGGCAGAGGAAGAGCTTCACTTACTTTCAGAGCTTCAAGTTTTTCTTTGTTCATCAATTTATCCTTTATCTCCTTTGCCTCTTGAACTTGGGCGGCAAAGTACTCGCACATTTCGATGTCGTCGTCGGTCTCTTCATCGTCGTCTTCGATCAGTGGGAAGTCATCTTGTATTACTTCAAAATCTGGAATAGGTGTACAACGACCACCCACAGGCGTTCGACATTCCAGTGACCGCAAAATTGCCAATTCTATGAGAATTTCTGGATTTTGGCTGTCTTTTGCCAATGGTAACTTTTCATCGGACTGTAAAAAATGGAAATTATTTATATACCTGAAAGGTAACTGGTTATAATTGTTTTCAGTTTTTGTTAATAGATATACCTCATCATCTGAACTATCACTAGAGCTAGACGAATCGCTACTACTGGTGCTACTGCTACTGCTGCTGGAGGTACTCTGATCTTCATCAGACGATGTTGAGGTCGAGGAAGACGAGGGCGATGTGCTGGGAATATTTGCGATCGGCCTCTTGATAATAGCTTTCTGAGAAGTGTCCTCCAACTCAATATCGCTGTCACTATCAATAGGCTCGGTAAGGGGTTCTTTGTTGTTATCACTAATGCGACCATCGGCAGACAATCGACTGTCTTCATCTTGCGCCGCGACTGGACTGGGAGCTTTAATTTTACGCTATAAACAGTAAAACGAGCGAATTAGTAAGGTAGATGAAAAAATAAAGTCTTGTTTTGAAAAATTAGTGTATGAAGATTTTACTCTGAAGGACGGCATTTTTGGCATGCTAGCCCTGATTCCCAGACCAAAACCATCGTAATTTAAGCCTATTGGAGTGGTCGCCTGTTCAAAGACCGATGTGATGTTCTTTTGCTCTTCTTTGACAGCTGGTGCCACAGGGATCGTTGGAGCTGGCGGTGGAGCCTCAGGAACTGGAGCAGCTACTGGCACGGAAACAGCAGCACTGCCAGCAGCAGGCTTCTTTTCCGTATTCTTACGCTCCTCCCACCAGACTTCGAATAACTTGAAAGCCGTATTCTCGACCATCTTCTTGTTGAAATCTTTCTTCAGAATTTGCTTTAATTCGTCGACAACCCGAGTAAGAACACCATTGATGGTAGGTCCCTGCGGATTGTCCCTAGTAATGCTTTGGTTGGCCATTGCTTGCAATCTTGATTGGAAATTCTGATAGTAGCCGCTGTTTTGTGGTGGTGGTCCCAGACCAATGCCAGGAGCCGGTACACCATGGAGTACACCTACAGCGGCTGCAGCTGGTTGATACTGATTTGGCAAGTAAGCTGCAACTGCTGCAGTGGCCGGGTATGGATATGGATACGGGCCGGGCCGTGGCCACTGCTGTTGTGGCTGTTGCATTAGAGGTGGCTGAGAGTAGACTTGATGGTGTCCTGTTGTCGTTGCGACTATTGGAGGAGTCGGGTAATGCGACAGATGCGCCATAGTCGAATAACTTGGGTACAGCTGATTTGCGGCATCGTGGGTTGCAATCTTCGAATCGAAGGTAGAAATACACTTTTCTACTGTTATGAACTAAATTTTGGCATGCAGCAAACAGCAAACAATTTAATTTTTTTTTTTTTTTTACGTTCATTAGCGTTCTTATGATGTATTGAAAAGATTAGAGATTCTATAACTTTACTTTATAAATAAGCTTAGAAAAAAAAATTTGATTTACAAGTTCTAAATACAGTAACTAAAGAAATAAAACAAATTTTAAAAGCAAGCTACAATAAAAAAGCTACACTAGATCAATTTTACAGTAATTGAAATAACAGTGATTGATAATCGTACCTCTTCTATCTTTTCATCACCAGAACTCAACGGACTGAGAGACATATCATCATCTAAGGTTGATGAAGGAGGTTGCTCTTTGGAAGGTTCTAACTCTTTAGTTTTTTCACCATCAGCAGCAGCAGCAGCAGCAGGACTATAGCTGCCCAGAAGGAATTCATCCTCGCTGGAACTGATAATGCTACCAAGATCCTCATCAACACCTGCCGACTTTGGTATTTGGTTAAGACTGTTCTGACGCACCCTACGCCTATCTCTGTTGCGCTGCACTTGTTTCTGAAAACACTCTTCGTAGGCTGCATGAGTTATGAAAGGACTTGGTGGCTCTGACAACATTTCTTCATCCGCATTCGATTTTTTTTCGTCTTCCGAGTCACTGCCAAATTGCAAAAACGGCGGAGCCATTCCTCCGGCCTTGTCTTTCAGCAGCATCGCTATCCTCGTATCGAGATCTAGAGTTTTGCGCGATTCATCGGGAGACTCATTCCTCAAATCTTTGGTTGGCGTGTGCACAGCTGATGTGTCAGAATCTGCTGGAGACTCAGTAGCTGTTCCAAACGCCGGATCCTTTTTTTTCGATGCTAAAGCCTGCTTTGCATTTGTGGAGGAAAGCTCGGTCGCGGAGGAAAGAGGAGTTACCCTGGCAGATTGTGTGGGCATCACAACCATGGAGGCGTCTGGCAGTGCAAGGGTCGCTGGTGGAGGCCATGACGTGTTTGGTGGGAAAATGGCACCTCGAGTATCCGGCGCGGTTGCATTAGGCCACCAGACACCAGGAGCTGTCGGGAGTTGTGGGGGGACTCCCGGAGGTATACCACCAATGAAGTTGGTTGACTGGTTTGGCGGTACATGATGCGATTGTTGTGCTTGATGATGGTGGTGGTGATGAAAATTACCATAATAGTACTCGTAATTACCAACTGGCGTAGAATTTTGCGCGAAACCAGCTGGGTAATTTATATCACTGGCTCCTGCGCCATAACCTAAATCACTATTACTAGCACTTGTAACACTTGGAGTTGGATAATCACCTCTATAGGACGAACTTCCTTTGTTTGTCAATCTCGAGTTTTCTACATAAGAGTCCCTACTTTTGTCGATATTTGACTTTTTATTATGCCTACTGTAATCATCTCTTTCATCTGCGGTTACAGTTGGAGCTTTATCAACAACTGGAGTTGTTTGTGTTCTTTTAGTCGGTTCTACATCAGTCTAAAAATTGTATGCATACATTACAAAAAAGTTTTTTTTTTTTTCTCAATAGAATGATACGTAAAACAAAGTAACATTCTTACCTTGATGGGTGGTGTTGGTGGAATAACATTGACCAGTGACTTAGGCTCTTCTTTCGCTTTTTTTTCAACGTTTTTCTCAACTTTCTTTTCAAGTGTTAAGTCATGATAATGTTTGTTGCATTCTTTACCAAAAGGATCGAGAAACACCTTTAACACTTTACCCATCACAGACGTACTATTTAATTTTTCTACACACGCTTTAGAAGCTTTAGTAGTTTCAAACACAGCTCTAGCTATTCCAAGATGCTTACTAGTTACTGGATGATAATATATTGTAAGTTCTTCTGTTGGACCAAACTTATGAACCATATCAGAAAGAAACGTCCTGTCAATATTGTCATTTAAATGGCAAAAAGTCACTTCCAACGGTGGAGGATCTCCACAGTAATTAGAATCTATTTTGAACCTAGGTACTGGCAAATCAAGTTGTTCCACCCTTGTCCATATTCTAGTCAGCTGTGAGCGCGGATCCCTTACCTGAATATCAGGATAAGTGGGATCACCGGGAACAAAACCATCGTATCTATAAACTTTGGTAGCTCCTTTCTTGAGAAACGGATCCACCAGGAGCTTCCAATTTCTAAATTTTTGCGTCAAGGAGGTCGCAGCACCGGCAGAGCTACCACCAGAAGTAGTGCCAGCACCAACAGTGGTCGCTGCGACTGTAGGTGGCTCTTTTTGTAAATGCGATTGACCGTAATTGCGCTTTCCGCTGGGCAGTGGAGGCTGCAGCTCTTTGGGATGGTGGTGATAGTGGTGCTGCTGCGGCTCTTTGGGATGGTGATTCTGCAGTTCCTTGGAATGGTAATGCTGTAGATCTTTGGGATAATGGTGCTGCAGTTCCTTCGGATGATGGTGATACAGCTCCTTTGAATTGTGCTGCTGCTGGTAGTGGTGATAATCACGATGGTGATGGGGCCCAGTATTAGAATTGTGAGAGACATTGTGGGAGCTGCTGTTGCTGTAAGATGACGACGACGGTGGTGGCAAGTGATGGTGATGCGCCACTGAAGAGCTACTACCAGCACTAGAACCACCCTGCGTGTGGTGATGCGACGACGAGGAGGAGGACGAAGAAGATCGGTGGTGATGATGGTGGTGATGGTGATGAGAGTGCGAGTGGCCGTGTCCACGTCCATGTCTTTCCATGCCGTTCATCGCCAGCGCGCATCATCCATTCGTGCAACAAGACGCAGCTCTTTTTCAACTCGATGACGAAAAGGAGCAGACGCTCGCTACCGGCAACGAATTCCGATGATAGCAATGATAGACTCGCACTTCTCGTACATCAGTTGACGTGGATTCAAGCGTGCTGGTAGTATAGTTTTTTCCTCTCCCAACTGCCGATGCTGCTACTACCACTTGCTCGGGGAAGCACTTCAAAGCCGCGAGTTTCATTGAGGCCACTACCTCTAGTACCGACTGGTCTCTCAAAGTAACTGATGTCTTTGACGTTGACCAAGTTTTTCTCAAGCTATCGAGTGTTTAGACTTCTCCTCTACGAACGAAGCAGCAACATAACCTATACGATACGAGGGTACAGATAAACCTCGACATCACTTGGACTTTAATCGATTTCCTTCGGGTCTACATAATCCTCAAGTTTCCAAATTTCAGGACTTGCTTCAACGTAAATTCGGTCTTGTTTTTCCAAAACTTTTTCAACGACCATAAATAGCAGCTCACCACACAATATACACTTACACGGAGAGGGGGGAGGGGTGGTGGTGGTGCCTGTACTGCGAAGTGCGAACTGACGCGTCGTGTGTGTGTGTGTCGCTCTCGCGAAATGCGTGATAAGTATGCGTGCACTACAAAATTGCAGGAAGCTATTTTGGTGCTCGACGCGGGCTTAAATGTTTTTCGCACATTTTACTCTTTTCTGAATAGGGTTTAAAAAATTAACTAGAGAACCTGAATAATTGTAAACTAGTTTTTTACGTATGCTGAGTATATATACGAACAAAACAAATAAGTAGTGTACTCATTCAGCGGACACACACGCACGCGCGTTTTACACCACTCTCTCTCTCTCTCACTCTATCGTAAACAAATAGCAAGTAGCAAGCATGGCATCACTCGTCCGTTCGTGTGCATCTTTGTTTGTTTTTTTTTTTTTTTTTTTTTTTTTTTTTTTTTTTTTTTTTTTTTTTTTTTTTTT